AACATTTCTTAGCACTGATGTTCAATACGTTTTTGTTCGCTTCTTTATTACAAAAAGGCTAGAAGTGAGGATCTTCTGCTGTACTCATCCAGCCATAAAATACATTTACATGTAAAGTTTTGTGATAACTGTATAATAATATCTTATTAAAGGCTCAACAATATGTGATTCTGATCTCAGTCACTATCCTGTTTTTTTAAACATTTATCAATGGCTTCCTTAAATGAGTTCACTAGAGTATTGCAACAATAAGTTATAGTACTGTGTGTGTGTGTCTGACTATTATCAAAAACTCTCATGAACTAATTGATCAATTTTAATGAAACGTGCAGAAAGTAATCATCAGATACACATCTGTAACTGATTCAGTCCAAATCAAGATGGCTGCCACAGCCAGTGGATCATAAAAAACACAAATATGGCTACACTGCCGTTCATTTAACATATTGAGCTAAAACACGGTGAGCGTCGTCCTCTAACCCAATGGTTCCCAATCCTGGTCCTTGAGGAACACCAACCTGCATGTTTTAGTTGTTTCCTGCTCCAACACACCTGATTCAGTGATTTAATTACTTCATCATTCATTCATTTAACCTTTATTTATACAGGCTAGTTTCATTGAGCCACGAGGACGCGTTTAGAAAAGAGACCTGTTCCAGAAAGAACATGTAAAGTACAGACAACAATAACAATAACAATAAACTATAGTAAAAATGCAGAAGTTTTATAAAACAATAAATCAGGGTGCCGTAAAACAAGGTGAAACACTAAAAACAAGAACATATTTGCTTGCCTTGTGTTTAAAATCCCCTAAAGAAATTGAGGGCAGCTTCAGTTCCAAGGTGTTCCAGTAAGAAAAGGCCTTTTGCCAAGTTCAGTCCGCACTGAGGGAACGCTGCAGGTAATGATGGCCTTATAGCGTACGTTGTAACTGCACTGACGGCGTGACATGTGGGAGGAGATATAAGATAACAGAACAAGGAGGGATTTTTAGATGAAAATGAACGAGTGTGAGAGCCTACATGTAGATAATGATGACCAACTGACCAAAGAGTACACAGTGCAGTGATGGGTACGGTAGTTACAACAATGTACGAATTTTAGTGCACCATGATAGACAGAATCCATCATCTGAAAGCAGCTGGCAGGGGCATTCATGTGAATAATGTCACCATAGTCAATGGCCGGTAGAAAGGCAGCGATTAAAAGGCGTTTTCTGACATTCAGAGTTAAGCAAGATCTATTTCTGAAAAAGAGACCCAGTTTTAATTTCTGTTTCTTTATCAGGTTTTCGATATGTGGCTTAAAAGAGAGATGTGCATCAACCTAAATTCCCAAGCATTTGTAAGAATGCTCAGTAGGAACACCATGCATGGATGAGATAGGAGGAAGAGTTGCTGGCACCGACTTTCTGCTGGAAAACAACATCCCTTTGGTTTTGTCAGCATTTGGTGCCAGCTTGAGATGGAATAAGTCTGACTGAATGATGTCAACTGCAGCCTGTAGCTGGAAAACCTTGGCAACTGTTAGCTCGGCAGTAAACAACAGTGTTGTCGGCATAGAGATGCAAGGATGCGCCAGGAATGTTTTCACCTACATTATTTATATAAATTGTAAAAAAAAGAGTGGGACCTTAAACTGAGCCTTGTGGTACACCATTAGTGACTGTTAGGTAGCTAGATGAATTACCGTTATTCATCAACTTCTGCAGAAGCCTATTAATCACCCATTCCTTCAAATCAGGAGTCAAAGCAGGAAAACTAAAACATGCAAGATGGTGTTCCTCAAGGACCAGCGTTGGGAACCACTTCTTTAACCCATGGTCTGGGTGTGGCATCTTGTAAAAGTGCATGAAATTTTGAATGCATGAAAATGTGCATAACCCTGATTTCAAGGTTTGACCAAACCACTATAGCTTTGTTGTTTCTCAACATGAGTCCAAAGTCCTGGCATCAAAAGTGGGTGATGTGCATTTCATGAAGAAATGTCTAGTCTTTAATTTGGAGTTTGGTTTTATCCCAAGAAGTGGAGCTGGATGTTAAACTAGAAAGCTTTGGAGAGGGGTCTTCAAGTGATAATTTACGGTAGTTATAATGGAATAATTTTAAAAGAAGCGTCTCTGCATCCGTTTAACTTTTTAACCTCACTCAAAAACACAGTTCACAAAAAGGCTTCGATTCAGAACGTGAGGTTTACTCGGTCACTCCGACATGAAAACACTCAGAAACCTGTTGAACCGGTGGTGAGGTCCGAGCACTGAGGCCCGGTCTTTCACATGAACGGGCACATTCTGCCATTCTCCACAGCAGAAAGGCTCGGCTCACTGGTGGCTTCTACTGCGGGTTTTGTTGTCGTATTTTTACAGTTTGTGTGATCAAAGTCAAGTCGGTTTATTTATGAGGTGCGGCGAAGCTCGAACAAACCGCTCCTCATCCGGGAACCCCGCTCTTCAGACCTCCTGTAACTGATGAGGTGTATGAAAAGTTTAAAAACTGGTATAAGGTCAAAATGTGCTCACCCATTTAATAACTTAATATAACAATCAAATAAACAAAAAAACACATAAAAATATATCCATGACTAATTTAAATTGAGCTGCGAGCTGGTGAAGTCATAAAACGAATGGCAAAGATCTTGCCTGAATGTGTTTGTTAGAATTTGTTTGTTTGTTTGTTTGACGCTGCCGTCAGGAAAGAAAAGTTCACAAAGACAAAAATAATGTTTATTACAGTCTGAATAAAATAAAAACATAATTTACTGTCTGAAAATCAATGAATACCAAAAAGATTAGGAAATAATTAACCTTAGAAAAGGACCCTGAAAGCAACATGTATTTGTTTATCAAGTAAAACGGCCACCCAAAGTTTTTATTAATTTTTTACTCGAGTTTTTCAGTGTTTTCTACAGACCAGGACCGTTCTTCCTGAGGAAGGAGTTAAAGTCAGAGGATGTAAAAACAAAAGATCCTTTCCACTTAGTCTGCATCTGGAACTAAAAAAAAAATATTTTCTTATGATTATTGCTGCTTGTAATATTTTAAACTCCTGATAAATAGATAAGAACAGAAGAAAAGCGGAATATATTTAGAAAAATCTGTACTTGTCCCAAATAAACTCACTTTGAGTTGTAGAAATTGAAACAAATAACTCTGCAGGGTAAATAAATTATGTTTCTAATTTCCTGTTTAGATGAGTTAGGTCTAGCCCAACATCTTTCTAAAGATTAAACTCTGTTATGGTTTTTAGGGTTTTATTGTGTGAATGTTCGTGAAGCATTCACTCTTTTGTGATCCATTTTTCTTCTGTACATTTTTATTTTTTTGGTGCAATTCTCGTTCAGCAGTTTTTCTGCTATTTCAACAAATCATAAATCAAAACGTTCAGCTCTTTCAGGACAATCCGGCTGTGACTTTTGGCATTTGTGCAACTTTAGCTTTTTGAAAATATTTAGTCTTTTATGACATTTTTTTCCTCATAAAAAATGAATTGAGCTCATTTTTCATCCTTCAAATCTTTAGATCTGTTTACATCCTTTTACTGATCCTTTCACATTTTGTTCTGGTTCAGCTTCTTTGTACAAATTAAAACTTTTTTCAGCTACGTTCAGCTGTTTTATGCTTCTTTCAGCTTCTTTCTGCTCATTTCTGCAAGTTTCAGCTTTTCTACAATTTCAGCTACTATTTAGCTGTTTTATGTTAATTTAAACTTTTTCAGGCAAATTCTACATTTCTTGCACTCGTTTAAACTTTTTACAGTGAATTCGGCAAAAATATGCTCTCTCCACTTCCTTCTTTTAATTTCAGCTTCTTCTGCTTTTTAGCTGCTTTTTGCTAATCTTAGCTTTTTTCAAATAATTTTCACTTTTTTGTGTTCATTGCTTCTTTCAACCAACATTTTCTTTCTGCTTTCTTCTGCTAATCTAAGCTTGTTCTACATTTACAGCTACTTGTTTTTAAATAATTTCAGCTGTTTTCAAATACATTCAAGTATTTCTTAGTAATTTCTGCCATTTTCAGTCTAATTAACTTATTTCCGCTAATTTCAGCTTGTTATGCTTTCAGCTGATTTCTGCTTTATATGCTATTTCAGCTACTATTTAACAGTATTCATGCAAATTTAAGCTTTCAGCTAATTACATATGTTTGAAGCTCATTTCAGCTCTTTCTACTTCCTTCTGGTATGTGAAACTTATTTCTGCCTTTTCAGCTGTTTTTATTTCTAATTTCAGCTCTTTTTTTTATAGCTGATTTCCTATTTTTTGCTTATTTGAGCTTCAGCAATTATGTGTTCTTTCTGCTTTCTTCAGCTAATTTGGGCTTGTTCTTTCATTTCAGCTACATTTCTGCATGTTTTTATTTAACTTCAGCTGTTTTTCAGCAAGTTCTTCTACACCCACACTGCATTTTTGTAGGAAATGCAATGTCTAGTTACTTTCGCAAGTGTGTTTTCTGCAAGCTAAAAGAGAAGTCCAGCTATGTTAAATCAACAAGTTTAGTAAATTAATTTATTACCTTTTAAGTGTAATGTTCTTGAGTTTCTTTTTACCTGAATTTTATTATAATTTTGAACTGAAAAGCTCGGATCAATCCACTCCCGATTTGTTGCTCTGGATTCAGCTTTAACGTCCACTTCCCGTTTGTCCTGAGTCATGTTTACAGGATGAACCGTGATGCTGATTTCACCTGATACGAAGGTCATTTTGAGGTCACGGTGACACCACCTTCAGTCATGTGACCAGATGCTTGTTTGTGTACAGTACAGAGCGGCCTTTGTCGGTGTGATGTAAGCAAACTACAGTTTATGGGTGTGAAAGTGCTGATGGGACTCCCCAAACCCCATAAAGCTCAGAGCCACAGGAGAACAATCCAGCTCTCCTCCTTTGTTGGATCGGATCTTTGTCCTCGGAGGGTTGCTGTTGTGCTGCTGTTTGTGTGTTTACTGTTCCTGCGTGTGAACGTTTGCCGCCTGCTATAAAAGGCTCCGGCTGTGAAGTGACGGGTGATTCTGTGGAAGACGATGGACGTACCAGGACCTCCTCTGCTCGTGTCTCTGTTGCTGCTGCTGAGCAAGGCATCCCTGCCTGCAGCATTCACCATCAACCCTGAAATGCAGCTGCAGCACAAAGTCCTCCACCTGGGTGAGGACACAAAAACACTTCCAAACGCAGCTTTAAAATCACGGCTTTTAATTAATGTGTTTTCTCCTCTTAGATTGGCCAAAGGATTGTGGGATGGCTCACTTCAAACCCAACATGGCTGAGAGGATTGTCTCTGGGAACGAGGCCAGACCTCACTCCTGGCCCTGGCAGGTGTCTTTACAGGTAAACCACAGTCAGGATTCAGAATTTCAACAACAACTGGTGGCTTTACTTATCTAACTAAGATAAGATAAGATAGAACTTTATTGATCCTGCGGGAAATTGAGAATATTAGTCCATGCTGCTTCTAAAGTGGCAAGTAATCCTTTTTATTATAATTTCATGCAAAATGTGTGATACCTAAATAGTATGGGGACTGTAAAAGTCAAAAGATTAAAACATTTAAACAATTAAAAGCCTCTAAAAGGCCTTTACTTGTGTAGCAAATCAGAAACGTACGGTCTTCAGCTTCAAAATTAAAATAGAATTCAAGTAAAGAAAAACTCGAGGCACGTTTTTAAAAAGGCACAGGTTCCCTACAAAAATTAATCTTCTAAACCTGACGTGGACCTGATGAACAAAAAAACAAACACAGAAAAACGGAAATAATTTAACTGTTGAAGGAAATCTAAACACAAGCCTAACCAAACCACAGAAAGGATTTCCTCTCATTAGTACAAGACGTTAGCCCCCAAATTATATTTATATTAGTCTAAATGAATTTATAAAAAATAAACATTTTAAAAATGAGGTGGTAAGCTCATTAGACATGTATTTAAAAGCTTTTAGAAATGCATAATTAAACCAGAAAACTGGTTCTTTTCTGCCCTCTAATGGACAAAATATGCATTACATCTAACACTGGGCTATTCAATTAAATTGTCCATGGGGGGCCACAGTAATTTCAAGCAAGAACTATGAGCTGGACATCCAGCAGTTATTATTATTAAGCACGTTTGTTTTATAGTTTAAAATCTAGTTTTATTTAAAAATGAACCCACTGATGAGCTGAACTGAGCTCATCCGTGGGCCTGGGTCACCAGTTAAATAGTCTCGATCGAACATTGTTGAATTTACAGTCTGTAAGAAACATTTATGAGGAAAGATAAATTATTTCTACATGCTTTATTACTCAGTAGGTTGTTGTCTCTCGCAGGTTCGACCAAGGGGCGGTAAACATTACATCCACGTCTGTGGAGGAACTCTCATCCATAAGAACTGGGTCCTTACTGCAGCTCACTGCTTCCAAAAGTAAAAACACATTTTCCTTCATATCTAGAAGTAGTTTGGTGTTTGTATAAATTAAATGAATATAAATCAAAACAGAGTGTTTTTTTTTTTTAACACGTTCAGGGGTAAGGCTGAGGATCCTGGGAGCTGGAGGATCGTCCTGGGGAAGCACCAGCTGAAGCGTTCAGAGACAGCAGAGAAGGTTTTCCCCGTCAGGAGGATCTACCGGCACGAGAGCTTCCGTTATCCCACCCACAGCGAGCTGGACTACGACATCGCCCTGGTGAAGGCTGCCACAGACATCCTCCCTTCAAACTTCATCCGCTACGCCTGCCTGCCGCGCAAGCAGAGCCCCCTGAAACCAGGACACTACTGCTGGGTCACCGGCTGGGGAGACACCCGTGGTGAGTCCAGAACACACACGAATCATTCAAAGGTTTTTGTGCTTTAAAAGCACTTATTATGCAGATTGAGTTTAATCCAGCAGTTTTCCAGAAATGCATCGGCATGTATTGCTGAAAGGCGGGCATGCACTCAACGTAAACACAGCAGTTTATTCTGCAGACGTCACTTAAATGTGACGTTTTTCGGTCGCTTCGGCTGTTTTTGTAGGTAAAAAACCTCTCGTGGATATCAAGAGCAGGTTAAAACTTTTTAATATTTAGCCATTAATTATCAATATGAGAAACAAGTTGTGCAGGTTTTGTTTCTTTTTTTATAAATCAGCTTTTTTTTTTTTTTTTACCGTTCTTTGAACTAAAAGTTTTTCTTTAGCTCTTCTAACTTGTGTGGGTTAAAAACAATTTGAAGTTTTTGATCATCTTCACAAATTGAGAACTTTTTGTGTTTAATTGATCTAAACGGTTAAAACAGCTAGAGGTCAGAGAACGACTGAAAAGAGCTTGATTTAACTTTTGTAGAGAATAAACGTCTGTAAATGTTCAGGAGTTGTTTAGATCTTCGTCAAAGTGAGGTTAGAGAAGGTGGGCCTGTGATCGGAAGGTCGCCGGTTCGACTCCCTGGACCAACATCATCAAAATGTGGGTGGAAATGGTGAAGCACCCACACCTGCCTCCACCCTCATCATCTGCTCCCAAACAGGTCTCTCTTGAAAATGAGTCCTTGTGACTCAACGAAGACAACCTGTATAAATAAAAGGTTAAATAAAAAAATTAAATGAGAAGACTGAGTTTGTTGCAGCGTCTCCGATTGAAGAAGTCTTTTTGATAAACGTTAATCTGATTTAACCAGATTAAACTGAGCTAGCTGGATTATTGAGCGTGCCTCAGGGCATTTTTTATTAATTCAACATTTATTTATACAGGTTTAAAAAAAAAAAACGTAATAAAAACAGCTACATTGTAAAACGGTGTAAAATACTAAAAACAGGAACAAGTCCGCGTTGGTTTTTGCCATGAACTTAGCAGATGTTGGAATATCGAGATATATATCGGATATTGCGATTTATCTTAAAATATATCGAGATATTAATTTTGATTCACGTTTGTGTTCGTGGTGCAGGTGGGAAGGAGAACGTCTCTCTGGCAGAAGCTCTGAATCAAGCCCGTCTGCCCATCATCGACTTCAAAACCTGCCGGCAGAAGAAATTCTGGGGCGACCGTGTCCGGGACTCCATGATCTGTGCCGGGTTCAGAGACACCGAGGACCCCCCAGCAGCGTGTCAGGTAGGACCGTTAAAAGAGACGCACAACGAGTTTACGTCTGCCAGGCAGCATCTTCACCGCTCCTCCTCTTTCAGGGCGACTCCGGTGGTCCGCTGCTGTGCCAGCTGGGCCAGGACCGCTGGGAGGTGCACGGCGTGGTGAGCTTCGGCCCCATCGGCTGCACCGTGGAGAACAAACCCAGCGTCTTCACCCGCACCTCCACCTACATCCCCTGGATCGAGGCGACGCGCATCAGGGACTTCTTCATGCACTGAGCCAGGAACACGAGCTCCGCCCCGTTCAACTTTTCACCTACAGATGGTTTCTGTTCCACGCCCACTGTGTGAATCCATGTTCTGAACGTGCAACAGTTTGTGTTCTTATGCAGCTGCGTACGCCACGACCCTCTACGTATCGTTTCTGCAATAAAACTGATAAAAGCAAAACTTAATGTACATTTTTCACTTTAATTTAGTTGATTACACAGCAGATTTGAAGGAGAAACATGAACATTTAGCACTTCCAGCGATACTTTCTTGCTCAAAGCTAGAAACTAGGGATGCACGATATTGTATTTTTGGCCGATATCCGATATGCCGATAAGTTAAAACTTATTTGGCCGATAACTGATTCCAATACAGATGTTTTTTTCCTAGACCTACTTACAGAGACTACATAGCTTTCTCTGCTGACACAATGACAACACTCAAACGGTCGCACAAAAACAGCACTTTTTATATCGTTCAGTTATTTTGATGAAATGGCCGATATTTAACTTTATCGCTAATATCGTCCGATACCGATACCAATACCAATACCAATAATATCGTGCATCCCTACAAGAAACACCACTGAAGATATACCTTTCAATAACTACAGAGCTGACAGGTTATGAGTCATTCAGTCCACGCTCAGGATCCACACCTGGCAACAAAACACCAGAAGAGTGACAAGTCTTTCAGAAACGTATAAAAAACACGTCACACCATTAAACGGGACCCTCAGCGAGTGCTCGTATTATGCATTGGGTCAGGAACACCTCAGACAAAAGAGATGTTATGGGACAGTAAGGATTTCAGGAGTAAGTTTGCTTCTCTGAAACATCTCTAAACTCCCAGAATGCTTGTGGTCGGGTGGCTGTGGGAGGAAATGGGACCAACTTGCCATTCCCTGAAAAGAACACCGCTTTCGACCAGAGTGCCTCGGCGCGGTGGTTAAAAGCGGTGTTCTTGAGATATTTGGCTCCAAAGTTTTAAAACGTTGTGCATGAAAGTTCAGTACAGCTTGGAGGAGGAGGAGCCAGTGAGATGGTTCCAGTTGTTGTAGAGAGCGTAGGCAGAAGCTAATGCTAAACCAGCTATACCTCCGCGGGCTGCACTTTTTAATCCACCTGAGAAAATAAACACAGAAAACAATAATTACACCTAATATTAGGTTCAGTACAAAATATTCAGCTTTATGATGGGAAGTTGTTAAAATCTAATCTGTTTAACGTCTCTGCGCTTAAAGATAATCTCAGTATCTAAAGAATTATTGCTCTGCCTTCTGCACGTTACAACGTGCTCAGAGGGGTTGTACAGCAAATATATTGGTTTTAGTTTTTTATTTTCCTACCCGTTTGTAAATTCATATTTAAAGGATAAATACTGATGGTTTATGCATTTATTACAGCTGTTTACAAATGTTATGAACGCTTAACTGAAGACAAAAACACATCTGGTTGGCAGTTTGGTGCACTGCACTGGGACTTTTATCAGACAGACATCCAGATGTTGTTCAGTTCACACTAAAAACTTTTTTTTTTCGTATTCTGAAAACCTACTCAAAAAATATTTAAAAATAGCTAATAATTATGATAATTTATTTCCTCACGACAAACTCATGATGACTTTTGTCTTGCCTCGAAGCCAAAAATCATTTTGTCCACCTCAATATTTAGGGAATGTATAAATAAAATTTAAAAAAATAGCATCATCATATGTATTATTCTGCTAAATACAATGTAAACAAAAACAAAATGCTATATTTGTCAGCTTTTTAAAACAAGTACTGATAAAATAAAATTCTATTTGCCATATTTTAAAATTCAAGCCGACGTTTTGTGGAATAATGTGTGAACTTTAACAGTCGAACAGAATAGCTGACTAACATTAATGACTAAACATTGAATTTATACCATCTATTTCACGTAGTCTCTATAAAAGATGGGCAAATAATGGTCTGATTGTTCTGGACCATTTGTTTTACAGACATTTAAATCATTCTCTCAACAGCAAGATCAATTTTCCCTGCCTCCAGGTGATCCATTTATACCTGCAAATTAGGAATTATAGAACAAAACATGTGGAATGGGCCAATATTAAGAAAGAACTAGGCCTGTCACGATAACAAATTTTGCTGGGCGATTAAGTGTCCCAGAAATTATTGCCATAAACGATAATATTGTTTGAAATTTGACAATAATTAGTTATTGTCAAATTTAAGAAGAAATGTTGGATAATTTTTGTGTGTAGTACCTTTTTTTTACCACTCGATGGCAGTAATAAGACAGTTTGAACCAAAGGATGGATAGTGAGGGAGCAAGTAGGATGTGTCTAAGAAAAATGACGTGACATGGGCTGTCTCTCCTTCCTTTTTTTCAGTTCTCAAAATGGTGGACACTCGGTGTGGTTTGAGCTCTTTAGCGTAGCATTTTTCACACAAAGCATTTAATTATTATTATTTTTTAAATCAGTAAACAAGCTTCTTTTTGCAGAGAAAAAAACAACTTTTTAGACGAAGGCACGAGTTTCAACTGTGAATTTTGGAGCTTTGACAAGACGGAGGTTTTTCCCCCCGATCGGCCTGTTAGCTTAGCTCGTAGCTTAGCCTCTCAGCTTAACTGGTTTTAGCGATCCAAAAACACTATTCTGGACGGTTAAAACAGATTTTAAATAGAAAATAGAAAAAGGAGGGGTCAGTCTTCAGTAGAAAGAGGAAGAAGAAACGATAAAGCCAATAAATGAAAATGAGGTTGATGATTTTCATTTATCATGCGATAAATTGATTTATCGTTTATCACGACAGGCCTAGAAAGAAACTTCTGCCATTGAAGCATTTTTTTTGTGCTTGAAAAGCAGATATTAAAACAAATTAACCTCTGTAATGTTTGGGAAATTGTTCACAAATTTGACAGATAACATATTACATATTAATGACACCAAAACGCACACTAATGTAGAGAATGCGCAGTGGTGACAAAAACACGAAAGGAAACGACTCGTACCGCTGGATTTAAAGAGCGATCCTGCCAATGTGCCAGCAGCAATTGTGTTGAGGTCATCTTCTGCTCCTCTGGCTTTCTCGATCGCCACCCCAAAAACGCCATACAACAAGGCTGCGGTGATAATAAAAACACGTCAAAATGCGAGTCATGTCACAGTAAAGCTGTAAAAACTATTTTACATTGCATCAGCATGGCTAGGTGGTGACATCATTCCATTATAAGAGTGTAGATAGTTTAATAAACTTGTATGGTTTGTATTTAAACTCGTCTTACCAACAGAACCCAGAGTGTTGGCCCATGAAGCCCCCTGTCTGGTCACCATGTTAAGAATTCTGGTGAGAAAAAGCGACAGAAGGAAAACCTGTTTAAAGATAAGATTAGCACTTAAAACTAGTGGAAATGTACTTTTTCTGTGTACTTACTGTACATTACGTGGTTTGGACCAGGCCATGTCCCTGGTCTCCATCAGGCCCATCCTAAGACCATTTACAACTCCGAGTGCAGCTCCTGCAGTCAAGGAAGGCAAAGGGTTAACACCAGGAAGTCCAGTATTTGGACACCTAAACATGACTAACGATGATGTAATCCCAACTTAATGAGTACTACTATTTCTGTAAAGTAATCTTTGGGACTTCAAGGATTTCCGCAAAATTTTAAAAAGCCTGAAGGGGTTTTCTTCAAATTATCTACGAGCTTTAGTGAAGACAGAGGAATGTTGGGGAATAAAAGCAGGCTTACAGTTAAAACTGATTAAAAATGACTGTTCAATCTTTCCTGAATCCTTTCCTTGGCCACAGTCAAGATTTGAGAAAAACATTGCGCAATTATCTTGTTCTTCTTTCCTTAAAGACTGTCAAATTTAATTTTCGGTGCTTTTATTTAGCAGTTAAGCGACAGCTCTTCATGTGGACATCACGTTAATACTTCCATTATTTCACGCTGTTAGTAATCTTTCTAGCCAACTGATCAAAATGTAGAATGATTTAATTTTGTTTTCTTTTGTCATACATGATCATTTATAACATAGATGGGATTTCTTTAGATGAGGTGATAAGAAACCAGATTGAAAATTTAAAAACATTTAAGAGCAAAGCTGCCAAAAACAGGCTACAGAACGACGGTAGAAAACCAACTCGTGCGTAAACGTTTCAGGCATTTTTCACAGGAGAGATTGTTGAGGAACCAATCATTATAGTATGTCGATGCAGTGTTGGACGGGCTCGTTGTTTAGTGCATACATATTTATAATTAATCTGAGTCCCAGCTCTAACCAGCACAAACATTTAATTAAGCCATAATTAGTACCCAATATCACAAAGTGTCCTGGTGTTTTATAATACTTACCAACTAGACATGAGCCTCCGATGGCAAAGAAAGCCAGTTCAAACCTTCCCCTTATTTTGTTGGCCCCCATGGGTAAAATGAACTCATCTGTGTCCTAAAACACAAACATTTAGATTAATAAAGTGAGATAATATACATCACAAAACACATTTACAGCAAATAAAACAGGCTTACCTGAACCAGGTAACGAGGGTCGACGTTAAGGTAAGGGGAGAGGGGACTCATTCCTGTCACTGAAATACATAAATAACGAGTTACTGATGAGGCAGCATGTTTTAAAGAAGTACGAGATCTTGAAGTGAAGCTGCGATGGTTAGCAATGCTAACAGGGTTAGCATTATGGGATCACATGACACTTACGTGGGACACCCGCGAGCTCTGTGTTGGAGTATTCAGGTGCACCGCCGCCAAAAAGACTCCCGATACCCGCTTTAAATCCCCCCGAACCCTGTGAGTTGTTGTCCATGGCTGTAAAAGTCTCGAAACGTCAAACAGGAGCCTGGAAAGAAGTTGCTAACCGAGCCGAAGCGGCTAACCTTAGCAGGTTCGTAACTCTCAAAAATACAAGACGAGCTGCTGGAGTTACTGCCACCAGTAAACTATGTTCAGACACAATGTGTTTTGTTTTCAATTTAAATGTAAAAAAAGAAAAATACCGTCCGTTTTGGGCTTGAAATTCAGTGAGACCGTCTTGTCTTTTTTTGCGTCTTCTTGTCCCTGACCTCCAGCAACACGCTCTGCCGTAAAGCGACCACCCGGCGATTTGTTACGTCACCAGACACCCTTCTTCTTCTTCGTGTGTTTTATGGCGGGTGGCATCCAACGTTAAGATGCATTATCGCCATCTACTGTGCTGGAGTGTGGGCCAGAGTATTTTTCTTACCTACTTAATTTATATTCTTGTATATAGTTTTGTTTCCTTTAGAAATTTAATAAGTGCCTCGTTTATTTTGTCATGTTTAACCAATACCCCTTCTACTCTTAATGTCTCCACCCCATGTTTTCTTACTTCTTGTTTTAATTTTTCTCTACTCACTCTATGTTTTTCACATTGAATTATTACATGTTCAACTGTCTCCATGTCCACGCCACATTCACATTTACCTGTTGGGTGTTTGCCTATCAAATGTAAATTTTTATTTAATCCTGTGTGTCCAATCCGTAAACTTGTCATCACTATTTGTTCCTTTCGATTTCCTCCAATCATTTCCATTCTCCCTACTTTCTTCTGTATCTGAAACAGATGACGACCTTTAGTCCCCCTCCTCCCAGAGTCGCTGCCATTCAGAGTTAACTTGGTTTTTAATAATAGATTTTATTTCAGATTTACTAAATGCAATTTCCATGATTCTAACTTGTTTTAAAGATAATTTAGCTAGATGGTCTGCTGCATCATTCCCTTCTATGTTTTTATGAGCCGGTATCCACATAAACGTAACCTTTACTTTAGCTTGTGTAAGTCTAAATATAATTTCATAAATTTCATACACCAATTCCAGATGGCTTTTGGATGAAAAATTTAAAATGGACATTAATGATGATAATGAATCTGAACATATAAGCACTCTGTCTTTCCCACTCTGTTCCACCCATTGCAACGCCATCAAAATCGCTAACACTTCCACTGTATGCACAGCTAAGTGATCAGATGTTGCTTCATAATTTTATTTAGCTCGGGAATAACATAAGCAAAGCTTGTTTTACCGGATTCTAAATCTTTTGAACCATCTGTGTATATATTACGAAAGGATCTATATGAATTCTTAATTTTATCTAGTACAAAATCTACACAATTTTTATCTTTACTATTCTCTACTTTTTTTATATAGACTTCTAGATCTACAGTTACATTTGGAAACGACCAAAAAGGCGTAACTGAATGTGGCACTGCAGCACAATATCTTTTCTCTTGTATTCCCATTTCTCTAGCACATTTATTTGCTGCCCAAGCAAAACAGTCCACTTTAGCCTTTCCACTTTCCCAGCATGGCTTCAAAGTTCTTACTGCTGGATGGTGCTCTTCCTTATGTCCCTGTAAGCTTACCCAATAATTCATCATGTTTTGTTTGTATCTTAATTGTAACGGGAGCTCCCCCATTTCCACCTGCACTGCCAGTGATGAAGAGGTCTTCATGGCTCCACAGCAGAACCTTAGAGCTTGGTTCTGAACTACCTCTAATTTATGAATGGTTGTTTTCGCTGCCTGCTTATACACTATGCTTCCATAATCCATTACTGATCTTATCAGAGCAACATAAATCTTTTTCAGATTGAGTTTATCTGCTCCCCAATCTAGTCCTGTTGAACACCTCGTCAAATTCACAACTTTTTTACCTTTTCCCTCAATATATTTTACATGATCATCCCATAAAAGTTTTGATTCAAACATGATTCCCAGGAACGGAAATTTACTTTTTCTATTTTTTCCCCCTGCTAAATACAACTGTCTTTGTTTTATCTATTGAGAATCTAACTCCCCAATTATAAGCCCAACTTTTAACAGATTTAATGGCATTTTGTATTTTCTTACACACTAATCTAACATTTCTTCCTTTTCTCCACAAGGCTCCATCATCTGCAAATAATGATTGCATGATATCCTTATCTAATCCAGAGAAAACGCCATTAACCACGATTGAAAATAGTAAAGGACTTATGATACTGCCCTGTGGAGTTCCATTTTCAACTTTGTATTTATTTGATCGTGCTACTCCTATCTGTACTTGTATGACTCTATCAAATAAAAATGTTTTAATCCAACTATAGGCCCTTCCTGTTATTCCCATTTTATATAATTTGATAAGCAACTCATCCTTCCATACCATGTCATGTGCTTTTTCAATATCAAAAAATTCTGCGCTACTTCCCTATTAACTTGAGCTTTCCTAATATCTGATTCCAAACATACAAGTGGATCCATTGTACCCCTTCCCTTTCTAAACCCACTTTGGCACGATGATAACAGTCCTCTACTTTCTACATAATATGTAATCCTTTCGGTTATCATTCTTTCCATAATCTTACCTATGCATGAAGTAAGTGCAATGGGCCTATAGCTTGAAGGGTACCAGACACACGTTTCCAGTCTCAAACTTTAACTTTATTTAACTATAAACATGTTTAGATATTTTTATTGTGGGAATTCTGTCAATTGTTTTTTTAAATATCGGAGTGCAATATTTGCAATTAAAATACATTTTATTTAATCAAACGTTGGAAATTTCACGACAGTTCAGCCGATTTATGGTTAGTATGCTGAACGTATTTCAACTTTTAAAATGATAATTTCTCCAACAATTAAACTGAAAGTGTGAATGTTTTTTATGCAGATATATAAGGTATTGTATTTTACTTCATTAACATTGCCATAAAGTTGCGGTACAACTTTTCAAAGCTCGTAGTTCACTTTATGAAACTACAGGAAACCTTTTTTTTAAACCAATGACTACAGTAAACAAGTACATAAAACGCCATCTGTTAGCAAAATATCACATGAACCAGTGGCCAGCTTTAAGGAAAATTTTTGAAAGTTTTATGTACATCTACAACTAATTAACTTTAGATATTATTATTATTATTATAGTTGTTGTAGCTGTTGTTTCTTGATAAAATAAAAATTAAAAAGCTTAATTGTTATTGAATATGCTAAAACTACTAAATCGTTTCCGTCATTTGTTTACAGTGTACTGCAGAGTGAATGACATGAAGGTGAATGTATTTACCCTCATAAATGTAGACATTTCTCAAAATTCAACCAAAAGAATGCTTTATTTATTCAAATTAATTGGAGTTTTGCAGCCTGGGGTCAAAATGGGAATTTAAATGTTTAATACCTGAATTTTTAAAGAATTTTTAAGAAGAATTTCTCATCATAATTAATCAAAACTCAAGGTTATGATTCTTGTTTCCTCACCTGTTGGTAAATTAGTTGTAGTTCCTCAAAGTCACCACTTGGTGGCAGCAAAGAGTCAAACAGGGGAGTGCAAAAAAAACCAAAACAACAACAACAACAACAAAAAAACAGGAGTTCATGTTAGTTCTGATCCTCCTCTTATTATTAGATTTGATTTTATAAATTGATTTTGGTCCGTTTGATCCAGGACATTCAAATATAAGTATAAAACCTGGTGATGTTGACTGTAATTGAAGCAGAAAAGCTTTAATCAGCTCCTGTGTGATCCCTGGCAGGTCTTGACATGGGTAGCTTTTGAAGTTATGATGCAACCAGGAGTCAGGACCCTCATATGCAAGCATGTGCGCATGCACATCGACTGTGGCTCACCCTCGGCCATCTGTTGCCCGTCAAAGGGACAGAGGCACTGAAGGAATTTAGTGTGTTGGATTTCACAAATAACAGAGCATCTTATTTGGATCCTGCCATTGTATGTGTGTTGAGAAGGGGGCCAAGCGGAGCGATGAAGTTTGTCATTGTCGCCCAGTGTGGGTGTTTTCAGACTCTCTGGCATGATGTGTGAGTTAGTGTTCTCTGCGTTACTGCCCAGTGTGCCCACTGTCTTTCCCACAATGCCCCATTGAGCTGTGGGCCTCCCTCTCCTCTATCCACTCACGCTCTCAGACCGAGCTGCCACCCATTCTGCGCCTCTGGCTAATCATCATCATCATCATCATTTTCAGTGGTGGGGATGGAATAGCTGTGATGTCATCTTTGTTGTCTTCTTTTATTTTTTCTTCATAGAAACTTTCATCTTCTCCTTCCTCGCTTCTTCCTTTCACTCGGTCTCTCTGAGCCCCCCAAACACAAAAGACAGAGAGGCCACAACAGGACCCCAGTGTAAGCTGGTCGTCAAGGAGACAAGGAGACAGTGTAGGGTCTTTAAACTGCCTCAGAGGGGTGTGTGGAGTTAGGGGGGAGTTGGCCTTATTTACATGGGAAGAGGACAAGGGAGAGAAAGGGAGAAATACAACTTTTAAAGCAGCTTATGAGAGTTCAGCTAAAAAAAAAAACTATCACTCCGCCGCTCGCTCATCAAATATTTACCAAGCAGAGGAAATCTGGATGTGGAGAATGCCGTGCATACATGGCGATTTAGATCAACCTGTCTTTTCTTCTCGCTTTCTCTTTTTGCTCTGTCTCTCACACGCACTTCTTATTTGATAGTGAGGTGTGGGGGCCCCGGGGCCCCTGGTGCTGGCAGTGGTGAGAGCTGACTGCAGAATACATTAGCAGCCGCTTTAAGAGCGCGTCGTTCCAAAACAACAAGGATTTAAAAAACAGCACAAAACTCGAGTGAAAACAGGAACACCAAAGACATTAGCACACACCCATCCCAACACATACACACACATTTTCTTTTATATCTCCCCCCCTCCCTCGATTGCCGTCTTCCACTCTGCTTCTTCCTGTCCAGAGGATTGTCAGCAGTGGTCACATTATGTCCTTTCACTGTCTGATCAGGGGGTTTGGGGTTGTGGCTACAGAGCAGGCTCAACTCCAAGCCTGAAGTTCAATCCCCCCCACCTCACCCCCACGCTCCCCTTCCTCCCTTCCCAACTTTACAATGAAAGCAGGAAGGGCAGTGAGAGGACGAATGAGCCACCCACTGCTGTATTCAACAGAAAAAAAAGGCTCATGTGATTCTTTTTTCCATTTTCTGTGTGAAACTTTACTTTTTTTTTTTTTTAAACTTTTTACTTCAAGTGTCATGAAGCTGAAATTCCATACAGATATTTACCTAAAAGTGCACGACATGTGCATGCTATTAGTTATTTTTACCCTGATACTTAAGGAACACATTGAGCCTGTGTAATATTTACTCTGCAGATGTTCTGGGGCGAGCTTGCACAATCAATTTTCCTTCAATTCCCCAGTCATATCCTTCAAACCTGCAACCCTCTTTGACCCCCCCACCACCACCGCTCTACATGTGCATGCCTGTGAGAAACCATGGTGAGCCGGGTGTTTTTTCTCCCCTCACTTGGATGTGTGTGATGTCCACTTGAGTTGCAGAGAAAGAAAAGGAGAAGTGGGAAAAACACAGTTTGGCTCTTTTCCTGCGTTTTGGCTGAAGTGTCTGCTTTGCTGTTTTTCTCGTATCCCTGAGGTGATTAGTATGCAGAAAGGAAGACGTTTCGCATAATTAGGAGCTACAGAGGAAAAAGCACCAAAGTTTGTTAGTTTAACAACTACGAGTTTAATAGTGAACATGTTATTACTCAGATAAAAGTTAAAAGATCATCATTCAACACTTCTTTTTGCTGTTTTCTTATTTTCAAGACACACTTTTATTTATTTGTTTTAAATTACTCTAGCGCAGAGACAGGTACCATTAAAATGGTTAATAATCACAGAAGTGGTAACAGTTAGTACACTTGGCACCAAAGAGTAGATTAATGTTGTACTACACTGTTAATTGTCACTCGTATACAAAAGGCACAGAAGGCAAGCAATGCTGATCTCAAAGGCTTAAAAGTTAAAACAGACGTTTTATCAGGACATGGAAAAAAAAATAAAAAAAATACCGCCAACGCACTTAAATTGTTTCTCCATAACAAGGCATATTCTCTCCCATCTGAAAATGTCATTTAATGTTATTCTTCTGCGTACAAAATAGAATATAAAAATACAATATAAACTTGTTACAGATGTTACGACTGCATGTTTTTTAATATATAAACTTGGCATTAAAAGTAAGGAAATGTGTCGGTTATGTCTTTCTAACAATACTTCTTGGCAGAAAAGAAAACGACTTACATCACTGGAAAGCCTGTTTATTTATTTTTAAATTGTGCCACGTTTGTTACGAAAATGCATCTTTGGATTGAGCAGAAGAGTTCAACTTGTCTAGAATCTCTCTGTCATTGCCAAATAACCTATCGACTTGTTTTGAGCTTCTGGTGTAACAGGACCTGTGAGCATCAGTGGCGATATCTCCAAAGAGAGACTCTCAAATTTGGGAGTGGTCAGAATGGAGTGACCTGCCTTCAGTTCTGACCTGACCCCATTGAACACCTGGGCTCAGGTTCGGGCTGCTGTTTATTATGGGGCCTAGATGGGGTAGAGGTAGGGCAGCCGAAAAATCCCAGGTTCGATCCCCAGCCATTCCCACATGTCCCAATCCCTAATTGTGCCACGCGTGCTTACATATCTGTCCACTGCTCCACCTGTGTGTATCTCAGGTGCCATGGGTTAAATGCAAAGAACCAATTTCACCAATGTATGAAAACAAACGATGACAACTAGGGATGCACAATATTATCGGCATGGTATCGGCTGATATTAGCGATAAAGTTAAATATTGGCTATTCCTCCAGATAAAGCTGTGTAGTCTCTGTAAGTAGGTCTAGGAAAAAAATATTGGTATTGGTCAAATACGTTTTGACATATCGGATATCGGCCAAAAATCCAATATCGTGCATCCCTAATGACAACACATAGCACTCATCCATCTTATCTAATGTACCATATTATTTTACATTGTGTTTAGAGTATAGCTCAGTGTACATCTTAGATCCTTATATACTATCCTGATGCATGCTCAGTATCACTCAGCCCTCTGTGAATAGTAAACAGCCATCAGTGTGCTAATGATCCATTGTTAGGCTGATGGTCCTTCTTGAGCATGTGATCAGCTGGTTTTGGTTGTCAGCAGCAAAACTGGTTGATCCACTCTGAGAAGGTGCTATTTAAGAGACTGAGCTGAAAACAGCACCTCAGACTGAGGAAGTCTCTCGGACGAGAGACGAAACGTTTCTACATTTTTTGTTGTTTTGCTTTGTTTTGGTTTTATTTGAATGTCCAGAGGACCAGATTTAACTTTTTTTAGATCCTTATATACTGTTTCTTTTTATACATTATATATTTGCTATATTTGGGTGTAACTGGGACCCTGAGCACACAATTTTGTTCCAACTCATGTACCACAAGTGATGCGAATGACAATAAAGATGCTTGAACTTGAACCTCAGCTTGGGTGTGCTGTTCGTTCCACAGTGCCCAACATAACCATATTGACTGACGTTCCTCAAATTCTGGTTAAAGACTGGGAGCCCATGACCAACTGGTGAGCAGAATAAGGAGGAGGTGCCAGGCTTTTGTGGCTGTGTATGGTTCTTCCACATGCTACGGATGCTCGTGTTTGTAAACAAATAAATTATTTAACTGCTAATAGCGCCCCTTTCTTCAGACCTCAGTCATCCAGCCCTATAAACAACTCCAAACAAGACACAATAGTAGAAAAAGTTGTTTGGCAGAGACAATTTGGTGTTTTTCACTGGCACAACTCAACTAAACTCTGCTGCTCAACTCATAAATACATTTTCCTAATAAACGTAGCACCATTTAAGACAAATAAGCTTTCCATAATTATCAGTAAAACCCAATTTCCTTACTTTTTGTGCTAATATATATATATACTGTATATATGAAGGCATTGCTTGGTGTCTCTGGAAAAAAATAGCAGATACACATGCAAAACAATATATGGATGACTTCACGTTCTTCAGTACAACCAAACGAACACAAAAACAAACAGAAATACCATAAAACATAACACTGTTCTTTTGTCTTGAAGCATCAAACATTCAGATGCTGTGTTTCTCAGGAGCCGCGTGTTTTGGCACTATTGTGAGCAAAATGTAGATTTTTATTTTAGGTTAAGAAGGACACACGTCCTGCAGCTCTAAGTCATGAAAATGACATAAATTCAAGCTGTGATGTGTCAGGAAAAGTGTAACATTGTTTCATGGCTCCCAATAAATAAAGGCACTGTTTGAGCTTGTACAACACTGTGGTGTGGAAAAAGGCAAAGGCAACGTTGTGAAAGTTCAACCTTCCATCTGTTAGTATCTGGAGCTTTTAACATTTTTTTTAAAAGCCCAGAAATGTTGACATTTTAAATTCCAGTTTGTTATTTGTTCTTACTAAACGTCAAAAGGTTCTACAATGACATTTTCCTGAATAATGCCCTTTTCTTTTTTTTTAGCAGTTGAAAGATGTCAAGAACAGAATTGAACCCACTGATACTTAAAAAAAAATTGCAAATCTTAAACAAAATGGCACTTTTTACCTTACGTGAAATCGTGCTAACGCGTGAACCCCAGTTTAAATGTTACGCTGCTAAAATAGAAGCACTCAGGAAAGAAAAGACGCTGGCTGAGGAGGGAAAAATACTTAAAAAAATGTCAACACATCTACAGTTTAGTGTTTATGAAGGGCTTTTGTGCTGATAAGTACCACCGGTATCAGTAAAGTTATTAATAGAGTCGTTATTATTGCATCGCAGAGGCAGTTTGACGCAGCCAGGGATCAGTTTAAAGGGCCTGCACCAGTTCGGGGGCCCACCCCCCAGTAAAGTCATGCAGCTGTGGCAGATCGTAATTTCAAGAAAAGATTCTTAGACTAATTTTGGGTGTTTAAAAAGGAAGGCACGTTTGGTAAAGTTGGGTGGGGTCCTGAGGATTATTCCCAAGATGGCTGTCGTCTGGTTGGCTGGTTATGAGGCAGCCGGCTTGTTCCCAATGTTCTGGTCTCGTGTTGGCAGAGCCGTGGGCCAATGAGCACGCCAGCAGGCAGAGATGGGTGGGTCATCAGTGGGCGGAAAGGTCAGAAGGTCAAGGAGGAGGAGGGAGGGGTTCATGGGTTAGTTGCCGTGGCAGCTAGAGTTAGACAGACAGACGAGGAAAGGAAACAAAAAGGGTAGATAAAAGGGGGACATAAAAAGAAAAAAAAAGATAGAAGAGAGATTAGTGTCAGCTAGTGGCGTCGGGATGACAACAAGGCAGATCTAGTGCAGTCGCACAGCATGAGGGTCGTTACGCAAGGGCTGCACAACACCTTCATGAGCGCCGCATGACCATTCACAAGGACTCGCATCAACCAGGGCGTTGACAAGAGGAATGGCCGGTTAGCAATGCTCACATGCGCTCATGAAGGTATCCAGAGGCGCTCCTCCTGTTGTGAGACTGCTGCTATAGTGATGCTACTCATGCTAGCTGGGCTACGTCTCGCACAGACAAGACAGCGAAACCATGGACGGACAGGGAGACGGCATGGTTTCATGTGAGAAGGTGACCTTTATGTCCAAAGAAAAGCGTCCAAGCCTCAGAGGGACTTTCACTTCCTGACAAGTGGAGCTATAGCTTAGAGCAGCAGGCGTAAGATCTTGATGATTAAAAGATTATTGATTATGGTTTGATTGACTGGCTATGTAGTATTAGAGTAGCACCTAAAACGACTACAGTAAGCACAGAGGCGCCGTAAGAGACAGTAATGAGAGGTTAAAAGATGGTGATTTTAGAGCAACTTGAGAAACAGTTTAACAGACAAACTAACTACAAGAATTTTGAGGCTTTGGTTCGCTTTAGAGACTTGTTTCAATACTCATCTTTATTGCCTTTTAGTGTTTTTTTTTTTGTCCTTTGTGTACAAAGAGAGCACCGCTGCTCACACACACATATTTTGCAGCTAGCTAGTCCATTTCTATTGCATATAACGGTCTCGACGCTGTGAATCGAGAAGGTTATCTCACCTTAAATACACAGAGCAAAAACACTGCCTTCATTGCCACCTTGGCAGCGGCTAAAACAGTAGTAGCTACACACTTTGAATAAACATAGAGACACTTCATCTATAAAAAGCATATCGTAAAACAAAAATAAAAATTTACAAACTAAGAACAAAACACTATAAGTATTTTCAAGCGATCTTATTCCATAAGCTTCATATACGAACTTAAATCCTTAAAATCTCTATATACAAATTTATTTTGCAGCTAAATACATGGTAACAGCACCACTCTGGCTAGGAAATAAATGAAAGATGTAAACAGTCCCAATGATAAAGTCCAGTGGGCAACTGATAAGACCACAAACAACAGTATTTCATACAAAAGAGCTTGTAACACAGACTTCAGTAGTTACCACACGCTGTGTTTTAGTAGCAAAACCTAAAGATCACGATCAATTGGAGGATCTTTAGAAATTCTTAGATCTTATTTTAAAGGAAGTGGGCACAACACAGGATTTAATTCATTACATATGCTGTATATATATATACATATATATAAATATATATATGTATATATATATATATATAATCAGTGGAAATCTAGTGGAATGAAGTTGAGCATAAATAAAACTTTCCACAGTGATCATGAAGTAGTACTGAGGAGGAGAGTTTCCGAGGGACGACTCAGGAGTCACAAGGACCGAGTCACATGAACGGAGCAGTCCATTCTAACTGAGAGAGGGTCCCGGCCCTGCGAGGCGTCCACTTTAAGTCAAGAGGCGAACAAAAACCAAATCATTCCTAACGTGGTCCCCAAATTTCCTCTTATTCCCCTGCAACAAAATCTCTTTCACATTTCACGCTGAAGCTGCAGCCCTTTTTCGCCTGACTCTTATTTCTTTTTCTTTTTTTAAGCATGCCGTATTACAGTAAACTGACATTGGTCCATTGGTCTGCATGCACACACACTAACACACACATATACACATAAAGTGGCTGGTGAGCTAACTAACCTCTGTCTGTGGTCACTACCCTTTGGTAAGGATGGATTCGCTTGTCGTGGCGTCGTACCTTAGCGGTCATGGCACCTGCTAACAACCGTTGATATTTCCAAAACAAAACACAGAAGGTTACTTGTCAGAAAGACATCAGACAGTCCACCCATGGCACCAACATCAGTGAAACTGGGAATTTACCAAGTGTTCAAGGCTGCGGGTGATAAAAATAAAACATCTTGCCTCTAAGAGACTGATTTTGTTGTTGTTTCGTGGTCGTCTTTTCTCTTTTTCTCTAGAGATTATTAATCCAAACTGCTCATTTCCAACTACGCTTCACTAACAGAATCAACATCAGCTGTAAGCAAAATCACTTTTTCTTTTTAGCTCTGTGATCAAAATAAGCTTTTATCATGTGTTAAATAGCAGCGCTAAAACGTCTAAGGGCTCACTAGAACATGTTAACAATTACAAGCGGAAGCTGAATTATTAAAAAAAAAAAAAGGTAAGTAGTTTTCACACCACAATGCTAGTCTGCTAATACAAAGAGGAAATTAACAGAAATGGACACTTGACTACTGTCGGGTAATCTGTCATCCTAAAGTATGAGCAAACTGAGTGTTTGCTCAGAGGAACAACTGTGTGTGCGTGTGGGAGTAAACGGGGAGGAAGAGATCTGAAAGCCAGTCCATGTGTGTGCTAGGAAGAGTTGCTATCACTTAGCCTTTGGTTGGGAATGCCATACCTGCGAAAACACAGGGAGAAGGGACTGTTAGCCCAGCAATGAGCTTCAGCATGTATTTGTGGATGAAGAGGATGTATTACAAGAGCTGGATATGACCTCCAACCTGCAGCAGAGGTCAACGAACTATGAACCCTGTCATCGAACCAAGACAGCGACGAAAGAAATCTGATTCTGGCTGCTTAAAGAGGTGAAAACTGCCTCTAGCTTTGCCAGTCACTCTTTAAATACAGAGCTAATTGTGTGACTGCTCATTTGTTGTTGTTTTTTTACAATGTACCATATTTTTCACTGTATAAATCGTGTTTTTTTGCATAATTTGCATGCACGGCGACTTATACGCCAAAACGACGTATTTATGGATTTTTTTCCCATATTTATAAACCAATTTCTGGCTGAGATATGACCGTTTTCATTCATTCTGACTGAAAATATTGAACACTACCATTTTCAGCCACTACATGGCACTCGAGTTGTAAGGCATGCCGTTGTATCATGTAATAGGTAAAAGTGGCTATTAATGACACAATCAGCTTGCCATATTCTGACACCGTTGTCTGGAGCAACTGAATCAGCTTCATTTTGCTGCGCCGCCGCGGTGAAATGAAGCTGATTTGACCATTGAAGTGCATTTATCAAGTAAAAGTTCAACTGAGACACACCTTTACTATAAAGTCGAGCTAACAAATAATTATTTTAGTTGGTTATCTTGTTAAATTTCGAATGAATGGACAGCGAGTCGCCCTCTGCGCGTTCACGTTTCTGCGTATCGGCTTTTAAAAATGCAGCTGATTTGACCGTCAAGGTGCATTTATTAAGGAAAAGTTCAACTGAGACACAACTTTGCTGTAATTTCGAGCAAACAAATAATTGTTTTCAAGTGTTAATCTTGTTAAATTCTTGTTAAAGTCCTCCCGTGCACACTCCCGCAGCCGCTATTTGGCAGACAATTGATTTTTGGCACAACACCGGCCCACATTTCCAGGTTGTCAGCGGTGACGCATAATAGATGTGACATATACAGCGAAGCGACTTATTTATGTTTTTTTCCATTTTATTAGACATATATGGACTGAAGGGACTTATAGGGTGGTGCGACGTGTACGGCGGAAAATACGGTAATTACTTCTGGGTACTTTGTGCTTTTTTTAGCTATTCACACATCAACAAGTTCAGCTCATGAGGCTATGACTTTGGGTTTCTGAAACTTTTAAACATTTCAAAAATATTTATCTTCTACTTCTAGCCAGCCTATCATTTCTTTTAGCTAGCCTGTAGGCTACTTTTAGATTCTAGCTAGCCTTTTGATACTTTTATCTTAGCTTTTGTTGCTTTTAGCTTACTTTTTGTTATCTTTATCTTTTAGCTTTTGCTGATTTTAGCTAGCATTTTCTTACTTTTAGCTCATATTTTTAACAGCTATAACTTTGTTACTCGAAGCTTTTAGCTAGCCTTTTACAACTGTTTTACTCCTTTTAGCTAGTGCTGTTTCGTTTAGCTTTAATAACTCGGTTTAAGCTTCTTCAGCAAACTGAAGCGGTCATTCAGCTGCTTTTTCACAGAACTGCAATTTCTCTAGTTGTAAGTTAAATCTGTGTGTGCTTGTACGTGACTTTTATTTTTCTTACAAGTCCACAGTGTCACAATGGCCAGTTGTTTCCAATAAAATAAATAATTCATAAAAGAAAATTGAAGGGCCTTAAACTTAAAAAAAATTGGTGCTTAATCTCCCTTATGTTCAGATTATAAACTACGCGGTTTCATCTTATTAGAGGTTTCCAAAGTTGGTTTTGTTTTAAGATCCAACTGGGGTCATAAAATGTCAAATGAGAGGTACTGAGATGATCTACAGAAATAAAACAACATTTAAAAATATGTTTGCTAACATTTATTTTCAATATAACTGTCACAAGTGATTAAAAACCATAGATATTAATGATTAAAGTTGATCAAAAGTTTGTTGCATATTAATTATGCTCTTGTTTAATTGGTTTACGTTTATACTTTAACCATCAAGGTCACAAGTTTTTTGCCAGTTTGCAGGAGCTAAAAAATCTGGGAAGCGTGAAGATGCTGGAACTGGAGGAGCTTTAAAAAACTGAAAATTCACAAAAGAAAAACACCGAAACAGAAAAACAGGAAAGATAATGTACACGTTTTGTTAAAATACTGAGTTCGGTAAGAAGCTGAATTCAATATTTGCCGCCAGTTTCTGGTAATCTGCTCTGATGGAGTCAAGTATCCAGTTCCCGTAATACATCCATTGACCATGAATGAGAGTGATAAACTGCTGATTGCCATGTACCTAATACTCCAGTTGAGTCGATCGGGTATTCCAATATGGAGGGAGTGAGCGTGTAGGGATACTCGTAAGGCGTGTAGATGATTCCGGACTCGGGACCCTGCTGCACCAGAGCCGGATGCGGGTTAGCTCCTGGCATGAGGGCGGAGCTCTGGATCTGACGGATCAGAGGCATGATGGTGGGCGTGGAAACGGGGGCGGGGTTTCGCAGGGTTTGGGGCAGGACGGGTGTCGGGCCTGTGATGATCCGAGGCGCCTGAGGCGTCCCTAGAGGGAAGGCAGCGGTGGCTGTACAGACATACAATAATGCAAGTGTGCACACACCCACACCAGCGCACATACAATAGACAGGGAAGAAGAGGAGAGAACAAACAGTCTATTTAACCGGAGGAACAGAGGCATTGTTCATATATACAGTGGAGTCCTGTACCAAGACCCCTCCCTTGTCACCCACTAACCCTCCTCTGCATCTTAACTCTGAAGTCATGCTTACGTGTCTTGACATTGGCATCTCTGTAGGTCCCATTGAGAATGGCAAGCTCCATCAGCTGCATTTTCTTCAGGTTGTCCTCCCCCTCGGCCTACGACGGCACATGGAAACAGAACAGCACAATCAGCTAACCGAGAGATGACTGTCGTTCCTGAGCAGAAGAATAAACTTGTGTCCAACTACGAACAAAATGTTAAATTATACAGCATGCCGACGCTTATCACAAACCAATTTTAATACTTTCCCAAGAAAACACGCAAACATGAAAAGCCTGGCATTCTTTGAAGGAATGTATGTCGCCATGGTTTTAAAATAAAATCAGAACTAAGATCTTATTGTAAAAAGGAACAGATTTATAACCGTTTAGTCAAACTTTGTAAATGTGTTACTGTGAGATCTCCCAAGATGTGTTTGCACTCAGGATGTGTCGACTCTGAACTACTACACCAAGACTAGCTCAGTACCTGTAAAACTGATGAAGTTAGAGACATTTTTATTGCGTGGGCTAAAGTTGATTAGCTGTCCATCTTGAATTTGGTTGACTCCAATAGTTAATAAGATGTAGACATATAATTAACGATAATTTTCCAAGTTTCACTAAAATCTCAACGATTCATGATATTTAGCTAAAACTACAAACAAGTGCACACATACAAAAACTTGTAAAAACATTATTGCTGCTTTGCAATAAAGAAAAAATAAATAAGCTGAGATTCTGCTTGAAGAACACCCCTTAACGTATGAAGTGGATATGACCAGGCCTTGAGTACAGACGCCCGCCCCGCCACACAAGACATATTCGGTGTCAAACACGCTAGCGTCGTAGCTCCAGTTACAGCCTGGTGAAAAGCTTGACTGATTTACATTTGGAGAGAAAGGTCAGCTGGGTTAAACTAACATATGACTGATTTTACCTGCCACACATGCAGATACACACACACAAACATGGATTAACAGGTGCTTAGCTACTGGCTGCTTATAGACACTTATCACATCCATGGACAGCTGATTGTTGTAACAGTACCCCTCCTCCGCCGGCCTTTTCAGCTTCTATCAACTGCTGCAAACAGTTCAGAGACTTAAAATGAAAGTAGGTTCGTGATTTTGAAATGTGCGCTTTTGTTCTTGAGTCAAACGGGACATAATGCAGAATGTGCGTCCTGATCTGACGGTTGATCTGATTTGCCATCACTGGTGAATCCACAATATGAATGTGTGCTTGTAGGGGGGCGGTAGGTGGGCCTGAGAATCTGAGAAATGTTCCAAAGTGCAAACGAAATGTTCTCTTGTGGGGACAAAACAAAAAAAACGTAGGGAGCAGAAGGAATACTGTAGCCGGTAGATGGGAACGAAGTGAGTTGTGAACGAGTGAAAGGAGTGATGGAGTGGGGAGAAGGAGTGAACAGACTCTCCATTCATTCCCTCAGCCTTTCAAACAACCCAGAGCTACCATGGCAACCCCTTTATGCGTGTTCCCTAATTACCCTAACCCTTTACACATACTCTCTCATACACACAAGTTTGCACAAAAAAAGACACACATAGACTTTTTAGGCTCGACAATCCCCTTCCCCCTTCCATGCATACCAACACAGTGAACTCTTATCCCGTCACACAGTTTTCCAGCAATATCACCAATAAAAGTGGACGCTGACTATTTCTGGTACTCACAGCGGGCACGAGAAGTTTCTTGACCTCATTGATGGCTCGCTGGAGTTTGATCTTGGCACGGTTGTGTGTGTCCTCCACTGTGATCAGGACGTGGAGGTCCTCGCTGAGGTGCTCCCAGTTGGGCTTCCCTCGGTTCATCTCCTCCTGAAACGCACAGACGTTTATAAAACAAAAAGCTCGGTTTGAATGCGCCGCACAGACTCGGCGTGTAGCTGCAGACCGGCAACAGGATTTCACATTTCGTCTTTGCTTGGCTCGGTTTTTGGATCGCACACAAATGAACGCACTCACAAGGCTCAAGGTTGTCTAATGCAGCTTTGGAGGCGTATCAGACTCATGAAACAACCATGTTGTTCCTCGGTGGTTACACAAGATTGGTGTTGCGTTTTAGCAAAAGTTCAGGACTCTCATTATTTGTGTATTATCTCTCCAAATCCCTTTGGCTCTTCATCTCATATCACGCCATCAAACCTTTTAAACCAAACAACGTTAACTCACAGGCAGCTAGTACGAAGAAATGTTTAAGTGCATCGATAATAAGTAACAGACAAATATTTAACTCTGTTGCTAACTGTATTTGAAGGTCTTCTTAATTGTTATTAATATAACAAAATAGGTTCACATGTTCCAAATAGTTAGAATTGCTTTCCTTCATTTTTGTCTGTTTCAGATAACTGTAACATATTGTTCCTAAAGGTCAAAAATTAAAGTATATTTTAGCTTGGCAGGTATTTAAGTTATATATTTTTAGCTGAACTGACTTCAGTTTGTCCGTTTGTTGTTTAATTTGTCGATCACTCAATTAAGCCTAAAATGAAATAAGAAAATTTGCTGAAAGAAGTGAATTTTTACGTTGTTAAGGATGTTGTGGTTCCCAGATTACTTTTCCACTAGAAATCAGTCATGTTAAAGATTCTCACTGAATTTGTTTAATCATAGCTGTGATGATGTAGACATTAATTTATTTCAGTAGTTATAAAAGAAAACGAACAACTTGACCACTAACTGATGAGTAATTTTGACTTAGTCATATTTTAGTAGGGAAAACTGCGAAAAAGAGCTCCAAAGTTTGCTGCAATGACTAGGCCTGTCACGATAACAAATTTTGCTGGGCGATTAATTGTCTCAGAAATTATTGCGATAAACGATAATATTGTTTGAAATTTGACAATATTTAGTCATTATTGTCAAATTTAAGAAGAAATGTTGGTTAATTTGTTTTGAGTGTAGTACCGTTTTTGACCACTAGATGGCAGTATGAGACTGTTTGAACTGAAGGATGGATAGTGAGGGATCGAGCAGCGTGTCTCTTTAAGAAAAATGGGAGGGAGGCCCCTTGACGTGACATGGGCTGTCTCTCCTTCCTTCTTTTCGGTTTTCAAATGGCGGACGCTCGGTGTGGTTTGAGCGCTTTAGCATAGCATTTGTCACACAAAGCTTTTAATAAAAATCAGTAAACAAGTTCTCAGCTTCTTTTTGTAGAGAAAAACTTTTTATACGAAGGCACGGGTTTCAACCGTGAATTTTGGAGCTTCGGAAAGACGGAGGTTTTTCTCTGAGGTCGGCCTGTTAGCTTAGCTCGTAGCTTAACTTCTTAGCTTAGCTGCTTTTAACGATCCAAAAACGCGATTTTGGATCGTAACAACGGATTTAAAAGAGAAAAGAGAAAGGGAGGGGTCAGTGAAGGCACCGGAGTTGAGCCTTTTGTCATCCAGTGTCTTCAGTAGAAAGAGAGACACGAACAAACGATAAAGCCGATAAATGAAAATGAGGTTGATAATTTTCATTTATCATGCGATTAATTGATTTGTTTATTGCGACAGGCCTAGCAAGGACTTAATATAAATTATATAAAAGCTGATTTCAGTATCATAAATATGACTTGGAGTGGGGGAGTGGTGGCGCAGAGGTTAGAAGGTGGGCCTGTGATCGGAAAGTCGCAGGTTCAACTCTCGGTACCGTCAACGTCAAAATGTGGGTGGAAAAGGTGAAGCACCCACACCTGCCTCCACCTCCACTCTGGGCCCCCGAGCAAGGCCCTCAACCCCCACCATCTGCTTCCTAAACAGGTCTCTCTTGAAAACGAGTTCTCGTGACTGTTGTGATTGGAACTAGTTTATATCAAAGTAACTATGTCTGAATATTCATTATATGTATTTACCTCTAGGAAATCAACAAGATGAAACTAATAAAATGTCACAATTCTACTTTTTCATGAACGTTTCATAGAGTTGATATCACGTGTGTCATGAGTGCTATCCATTGATTATCTGTTTAACAAATAATCATCAGCCAATAATAAAACCTTGACAGCTCTAGTTCATATCTAATCACGTGTTTGGTAATTTTACTACAGGTGGTTACAGTGAACCCAGAACACACAGAGATCGGACCCTAAGCTAAATTTAAAGGGGGTCAAACCCACATTTGGTCACTTTTAATAGGCGTGGGGTGTGATTTTCAAATTCAAAGTCTAGTTAAAATGAGCAAATTAGAAAAATTTACAAGACCAACATGATCCTTCTTTTATTTTTCTTTTGTGCTGGCCCCCGGTAATGATACACCAAGTAGTTTTCTAAAGGTGCTTTACAAGTCAGGGTGCTTTTTTCTACACAAAACCAACAATGCACCCTCTTAATGAAAATAGAACAAAACACAAATATGTGCTCTACCGTTTGTTTCTGCAACCGTAGTTTATTTTGAAATGATTATGAAGTGGAAACTATGGTCATGGGTGAGCTTAGCTTAGCCCATGGAATCCCCCTCCAGGTTGATCCACTGGACCAGTGAAAATAAAGGACTGTAAAGACCACTGGCTAGCAGATCTAGTAGCGGCACACATCTCTGTACCTGAAGCCTTTAATTCATTTGAGTTTTTCATCTGCGGGACTCAGGGTGAATAAACTTTATTTCACCGCAAGTCCCAAGCATGTGGACTCAATTTGAAGTGAAAACGTAAGACAGACAACAAAGTTCATGCTCATTAATCCAGGTATGAATCCAACAATGTTCAGTCTGCTCATCTGGACGGTTTCTTTTGTTGCTGAGACGTTTCATCCTTCATCCAACAGACTTCTAGAGTCTGAGGAGCACCAAACCAAACTGAACCCCACAAACAGCTCACTCACAGAGTGTAAAAACTGTTAGACTTAGAACAACTTGTTGGATTTATACCTGAATTAATGCACATGAACTTTGGTGTTTTGAACCACTTTGGCATGGTTGCCTTTAGAGGAGTTGATCTTATCACCAGCAAACTGTTTTTTTTCATTCTTGGAGTGAGCTGATTGTGGGATACAGTTTGGTTTGGTGGGCTCCTCGGCCTGAAGAAGTCCTTCGGATGGAGGACGAAACGTCTCAGCAACAAAAGAAACCGTCCAGATGGCTTGACTAAACATTGTTGGGTGAGACAGACAACAGTTTTAAATTATAAAGCAGGAGGATTAAAGTTTGTTAAGATCATCTGCTTTCAAATTGTTTGTTTTGCTGTATTAATTAGCTCGGCGTGAGTCGAGGATGCAGCACGAATGGCTCCACGTTGGTCTTATTTTTGTAGCGGTGGCTGATTTCAATAGAATGGGACTGTTGGGTAACCAACTTCTTTTGTTCAAAGAAAAATTGAACAAAAAATAAATAAATTTAAATAGCAGTTTTGCCTAAAATGTTCACCCTTATTTTTAACCCACAGCAAAATAATAATTATCGGTACATTTCTACAGAGGTACAGTATATAGGCAAAATTAATCAACTTTAAAGTCATCGTCAAGCATATCTGGTTAATATGAATAGAGTTGTTGGACTTATATTAACAAACTGGAAAAGAGGAGGTGATAACTGCAGTAACGTGAAGGAGGGTACAAGTTTGCAAAGCTGGACCTGCACAGGGCTCTGACAATCGCTTTTTGAAAACCCAAGTGTTTATATTTACATTCAAAGCAGGGAAGCAACCTTTGGAACACAAATGGTCACTCAAGACAGATGTGGAGACACATTCCAGTGCCAGGTGTGAACCCATGAACTCATGGCTGCTTGTGACCAGACCACTAAAGATGCACGTTAAAGTCAGGTATGACGTCCGAAAATCACAAACTCGTCCCAGATTTAATGTTTCAACTTTTACAAACATTATAGAAGGATTATGCAAATAACTTATTCTTTAAACTGTTTTGTGTTGTTATGCCAAGTTAAGTAAACTCACCCTTTAAATTTCGCTCAACCCTTAGCTTACATAAAAATAGGATTCTCTTTAACAGATTTCATAAATTTAGAGACCATAATGTGTTTGTGGGATTGTTTTGTTTGTTTGTTTTTACCCATCATAACTGCTTGATATCACAGAATGTGTAATAAAAATTGTAGCCACAGTTAAACCAGCACGTTACGAGTCTTGTAACAGTGTGGCGTTCGCGCAAATCGTTTCCTCTGAGGCTGTTTTGTCAAGTGAGATGTATCATTCTGAAGAACGCTGAAAGTCAACATCTTTTTTCTCTTCTGCCCCAGTTGCCTCCCACTGTGTGTCTGTTTTCCTTCCTCTTGGACTCTGTGTGTTTCTCTGTCTCCCTCTGAGGGGCGTGCGGGGTAGGGAATGTTCTGGAGAAAGAGAGAGAGAGAGGATGGTGTGTGTGGAGATGGGGGGGTGGAGGAATGCTGGACTTGCTCCACCTGCCGTTTGGAAAGCTTGAGCTGACTCCATCCAACAGCAGACACAAGGGGAGAGGAAGGGAGGACAGATGGACTGAACGCCAGGACAGGAAAGAAAACCTCCACACCAAAAAGTCATTGTGCGAGGAGGGCGGGTAAATAAACACAACTTAAAAAATAGAGACCGTATTTTTTGGACTATAAGGCTCACTGTCAATTTTTGAGAAAATTAAAGGATTTTAAGTGCGGCTTATAGTCCGAAAAGCACGGTTCTTGTATAAAGAGGGAGAACGTCCTGGCAAATCAATCTTAAAATCACAATTATCTCAGCAATTTTCAATCGAGCTTTTATTTTAGTTTTGTTTGATCTATTTCTGATCGTCCTGACATTGGTAACCTTGAACCCTCATCCAAATGTCAAGTGGCTGTGAAGCTCCGAAACATCCACCCTTCATCTCACAACACTCATAAATATAGATTCCAGTCAACCACCAGCTGATTTTAATTACCTTGTTTCGTTTATTTAGTGCTTTGTAAAAACCTCCATATCGTTCGCTTTAACCTCAGTCTGCTGAGTATTTTCCAAGAAGTTAATCAACAGCACATACTGAGAGTTTTCAGACATGTAGGCCTACACCCTTGCTTAATTTAATACACAAATATCTGCAAAAATTCACTTAGGCCCACTTCTTTCTCTACCGCTCATGTGACTCAGGTTGTGTTTTATTCATTTTTTTATTACCAGCTCTGATAAGACTCAATAGGTTGAGATCGGTTCCATCTTGTCCCAGGATTTGTTTATGTTATAGGTGTCTTGGGGTTTTTACAAATGGCTTCAGTCGTTTGTCCTTTTAACACTTAATTGTTTTTATTTTTTTTATAAACAAAACCTTTAAGTTAATGTACCATATTTTTCGGCCTATAAGTTGCAGTTTATTGCATTATTTGCATACTTTGTGACTTATACGCCAAAGCGACATATTTATGGATATTTTCCCATATTTATAAACCAATTTTTGGCTGAGATATGACCAATTTCATTCGTTCTGAATGAAACTATTGAACACTACCATTTTCAGCCACTAGATGGCACTTGAGCAGTATGGCATGCCATTGAATCATGTAATAGGAAAAAGTGGATATTAATGGCACAATCGGCTTGCCATAGCTGATACTGTCGTCTGCCTGGAGCAACCGAATTAGCTGCATTTCGCTGCGCTGCCCCGGTGAAATGCAGCTGATTTGATCGTCAAAGTGCATTTTTTAAGTAAAAGTTCAATTGAGACACACCTTTACTATAAAGTCGAGCTAACAAATAATCGTTTTTAGGTGGTTATCTTGTTAAATTTTGAAGAAATGGACTGAGTCGCCCTCTGTGCGTTCATGTTTCTGCGTATCGGCTTTTGAAAATGCAGCTGATTTGACCATTAAAGTGCATTTATTAAGCAAAAGTTCAACTGAGACACACCTTTATTATAAAGTCGAGCAAACAAATAAATATTTTTAGGTGGTTATCTTGTTAAATTTCGAAGAAAAGCACAGAGGCTCGTCCCTCTGAGCATTCCTACTTCCGCGTATCGGCTTTTGAAAAACAGCTGATTTGACCGTCAAAGTGCATTTATTAAGCAAAAGTTAGACTGAGACACACCTTTGCTATAATTTCAAGCAAACAAATAATTGTTTTTAAGTGCTAATCTTGTTAAATTGTTGTTAAAGTCCTCCCGTGCATGCTCCCGTGGCCGCCATTTGGCAGCCCATCGACTTTTGGCACAACACCGGCCCATATTTCCAGGTTGTCAGTGGTGACGTGTAACAAACGCGACGCATCAGTGCTGACGCATAATAGATGCGATGTATACGGCGAAGCGACATATTTATGTTTATTTCCACTTTATTAGACATATTTGGACTGATGCAACTTATAGTGTGGTGCAACGTGTACGGTGGAACATATGGTAAGTTGAACAATGAAAAACTTACCAATAAGGAGGAGTAAACCTTAAGTGTCGCTTGTGTTTTTAAACATTTGTACCTTTTTCTTATCTCTCATGGAGCCCTTTCCTCGCACCATAATTTTGCAGCCGGTCTCTGCCTCAAGCTGTTTGGCCGTCAGTCCACGTGGGCCCAGGATCCTTCCTACAAAGTTGAACTACACGAAAAACAAACAAACAAAAAAAAACCATACAATTAACAGAAATAAGCTAACTGGCACGAAGACCGACGAGACATCGCAGGCTGCAAGACTTAACAATGTGTGTTTGTGAGTGCGACTTTGAGGTTTGTGGATGCGCGAATGGTTTGAAGAGACAAAAATAGCTCATTATTTGGGGAGCTGGCTTGTGTTGGTGGCATGACAGAACACTGCCGTTCTCTTAACCTTATCTGTCACGACCACTGAGTGATTAACTAGACAGCTGCCCCTCCGTGTGTGTGTGTGTTGCCTTTTGCCGCTATTCCTCCACTGAAATCTGTCTGAATCTGATGTTTACTTCAGTAACAGTTGCGACACATTCCGACCTCTACGACGACCCTCAGCTCCCACCAGCAGAACACACACACAAATCCAGACCTGCGCTCTAAATTTAACCTTGATCTCAACTGTTTTCCAATGCCCTCCTGTGTGTGTCCTGTTAGCCTGCCGTCATGTGAGTCAGGACAGCCCGTCATTGTAGTGGGTGATTGGAGAGCTGATGCATGGAGAAAATCATGTGAGGCTCAGGCTCATGCTGAAGTGTTCGGCTGCTGTGCACTTATGGAGGGGGGAAACGTGAACTTTTAAAAGCTTTGATAAATATTTACGGTGCAAACTTGGCGCTGAAATGACGCCAGAAACATTTGTTTGAGTAAAGAAATCTAAAATAGCTTAATTATCACTTATGTAGTTGTTTATCTTCTTGGAGCTGCTGATCCTGGCTCATTATTGACCCGTCTTAACTCCAGATTACATCACTGGGTGTGAGCACAGATGATCTCAGAATGAAATCAGCTTTTAGATAAAAACGCAAAACGTCCCCATGATTTAGAGCCACGTTGACTCTGGTAGGCTTTCTGTAAATAAGGAGCAGATAAAGCGACAACAGGGTAAGGTAAACAGAGACACCTCTGGAAAAAAGGTCAAAGGTCTTTAGTTTTGTCAACTCACATCAGGGTACTCTTTGACAGGCACGTAGAGCTTCTCCTGCAGCTGAGCCACGGGACCAACGGCTTCGGGAAGCTCCTCCATGTCCCGCCCGTTGAACATGCCGCCGTTCAGGGTGTCGTTGTACATGTCTTTGCGCACCCGGCCGATTTCTTTAAGACAGTAGGGGGAAAAAGTGTCAAGAGGTTTCACATTTCTTTCATCAGACTGTTTGTTTCTAAGATGAGTCAGTGTCACCAGCATTAAAGGAAGCTCCGAGTGTGACAGCTGACGGAGAGACGCGCAAAAAGACAAGAATTCTGCACCACGACGCAGAATCTAACTGCTGAACGCTTTGCAATCAAACCTCCTGTTTGTCCAACAGCCTTCACCCTCTGTTTCTATCTCTTTAACCCCAACGTGCAGGTCATTCCCCTTTTAATCTGCAAATAATGTGAAAAAACCATGCATGTTAGAGGCAGTCAGTAAAAGCTGCCATTTGTTCACAAGAAAACGGCTTTAGAAACAAGTGGCGACTGATTATGTTTAGTTTCAATATTAATCAGTCTGCTACTTCTCTTTTTTTACTTGTCGCCACAAACATGGTATTTTCCTGGTTAAATAAAAGGTTAATAAATAAAACATTGGCACATATTGTCCCAAAGATTTTGTAGAAATGTGCCAGTGTGTTGTTGGGTTCAGCTATCTGTCCAAAACATAAAGAAAATCCGTGCAGAATTGTGTAAAACTTTTAAAAAGGGGCTAAAAGGCAACCTCACATTGTTCACCCTTTTTACCATTAATCAATTATTTCTGAACTTTTGCAGCTTAGAAATAAGTCTACTACAGGTTAATACTTTAAATGTGGATAGCTAATAAACTTTTTTTTTTTTATTATTAGGGTGAGCTTCCTAAATAGTCAAATTTGTGGCTCAGCTTTTGGTACAGAAGCACAGAGACTTATTTTTATCTGTCTGCGCGTTTGTTTACGGTCGTCTCAATGACCAATGGTTGTCTACGATACCTTTGTAATGACACTCCAGTGCAATAATAACTGACTACAGCACCAGACCAACTCATGCACACAGACCCCCGTTTGAAATCACACACACACACACACATACCAACACACTCACGACAGAATAACTGCCTTGGGGCACAAATATCATCTGACCTAAGCGGGCTGACAGGCATGTCTCCCTCCTCTCCGAGCGTTAAGCCTGACCATAATAACTACAGTATCACACTATAATTACAGCCACAGCTAAAGTGACAAGGGTGATCCTCTAATAACCTATTCTGACCCATTGCTCGCAAAAAACGGCCATTACAGCGCACACAAACAACCAAATCTGCACAGCAAGCAGGGCCTTTGGTCACACTTGAGTTCAAAGTAGCCGGAGGAAAACAAGAAGTGAAAGAAGAACTAGAGAGTTGGCCGAAGGAGCAAAAAAAAAAACAGATACAGAGGAGGAGCAGTGGCTTTATCTTAACACTTCAACCTTTCATAGGATTAAATATAGACCAGACAAGAGTTGAAACAAACATGACAACACCTTGTATAAACTTTTCTCTTTTTTTTTTAAATAATGGTTTTGAGATCTTACTGCACAGCCTTTTGTGCCACCCCAACAACCGGGAGACGCATGATCACAACCGTCTACGCAGGCGTGAGGCTATTTGTTGGGACGTGGAGGTCGTCCGGAGTAACTTTATGCTGCGTCACGAGACTTGTCAGAGCACAAAGTCAGTCCCACCGCGATCCTGATGTGCAACAACAGTAGCAACAACAGGCCTTGTAGCAACTCAAGAATGGCATTCAAACACGTGTGACGTTTAAAACAGAAGAAACCTGCTTTAATGCAGTGCCTTATGTGTGTGTGTGCAATTTATGCAACTTGTACCAACATCTGGGCTGTGTTGATGATGTGAGGCAGCTTCAAATCAAATATTTTACACATTTCACATGATCGTTCCTGCACAGGGATGGGCTGCAGCATAAGCCTGTTCATTAGGTCACTGGGAAAGACTAACAACTGTCTGTTTGTTCCCATCACCAACTACCCCTGTGTGTGTTTGGATAAGGGTGCTCTGCTGTTCCCCTCTCTGCAAATCCTAAATCTGACTTAAGACAATAAATGCATCCCCTTCACACAGTTGTACAGAGCTGAAGGATTTGCAGTCAGAATTGTGTGAATGTTTTGGGTGAAAACATCCAGGAGGGCCTAAATGTGCTCATTTATCACTGGGATTAGATCAGTGTTTGGGGGACAACTCTGCTGTCACGTTTCCGAGGCTCTGCAGAGGAATCCTGCCCTCACAGAGGTCCTGCAGAAACTTATAACGAAGCTCGTCGTGCGTTAATATTTAAAATAAACTTGTTTTAACAGTAGTTTTAGGAGTGGCAGATAAAGCAGAGTTACCTTCATCCAGCAGCCGCTCCAGATGCGTGAAGATGCCGCTGAAGTTGGGCAGGGAGCTCATCACCTTCCGGTCGTTCATTAGCTGCATTAGATAGTCCGGGTTGGACTTGGGTCTCTCCTTCACCTCTGTCTCCCCAACCATGGCTCAAGCGACCCACCTAATAGGAAGACTTAAATCCCGCCACCCCCCTCTTTATAAAAATAACATAAAAAGAAGAAGAAGAAAAAAGGATGAGTCCGGGGTCCACCCGCCGCGACCCGCTCACCGCCTCTCAAGCTAGCGGTTCAAGTGTCCTCTCAGCTCCGGGGGGCTGGTTCTTCCGTTAGTGACCCCCCCCAAGGTTCATCAAACGTGCCCCGCCGCCCCTCTGCTCCGCTCTCCACAGTTTGGAAAAGTTCGCGGCACTTGTTTGACACTTCAGCCGAGTCCGCCGGACTCCTACAAGCCCACCGTGAGCTCACGTCCTCCGCTCGTGGCCGCGCGGCGTGTCGGTATTCGGCTGCGGGGACCGAGGCTCCCTGTCATATGATTACTGTACGGAGTGGACTGTCGCGAGCGCGCCGCGCGTAGCCGTTATCAGCGAGACGCGGGGAGGAGGGGGCTCGTGCGCCCTCACAGCCCCCGCCCCAAGCCTCTTTTTCTGTCGCGCGCACACGCACGCCGACACCCTACACTCGTTTTTTTAGGTCGTAACAATAAAAACAGGCATGCGACGCGGAGGTATGTACACCTGTTCACAGCAAGGGACCGTGTAGTTTTTAAAACGGAGGTGCGTTCAGGTACACAACTTCAACTTTTAGAACTTCCATAAACAAACACATCAGTTTTAATTACGCACAGCGCTTGTCTGAGTGTTCAGTGGCTGCTGAAATTTGATGAAGACTAAGCTAAAGCTGAGGTGTTAAACCCACAAGAAGCAGAACACTAGCTAAAAGTTAAATAGAGCAAAAGAATAGTAACAAAAAAGCAAACAGCAAAATGATAGCTGAATGGTAAATGTAGTAAATATGATACCGAAAGGTAACAAAAGGCTAGCTAGGTTAGTTATAAGCCAAACTTAGCAAAATGCTTGGTAGAAGATAAAACTAGCAAAAGGCTAGCTAAAATATGAAATATCTATAAACTAAAGTAACAAAAGGCTAGTAAAATGTTAGATATAAGCTAACCTTAGCGAAATGCTTTGTAGAAGATAAAAGTTTCAAAAGGCTAGCTAAAATATGAAATATCAAAAGGCTAGCTATAAACTAAAGTAACAAAAAGCTAGCTAGTAGTAAAATGTTAGTTATAAGCTCAACTTAGCTAAATGCTTGGTAGAAGATAAAAGTAGCTAAAGGCTAGCTAAATATAAAGTATCTAAATGCTATAGCTAAAGTATCAAAAGGCTAGCAATGGTATTAGTAAAAACTGTTAGCAAAAAGCTATCTAAAAATGGCAGAATAGTTAAACACTAAAAGTAGGGCGCAGAAGGTGGGCCTGTGATCAAAAGGTTGCTGGTTCAACTCCCAGGACTGACATCATCAAGATGGGTGGGAAAGGTGAAACACCCACACCTGTCTCCTCCCTCATTTGTCCCACTCGGGGCCCTTGAGCAAGGCCTTTAACCCTCACCATATGCCCCCCTGGCAGCTCTCTGCTCCACACAGAGGGCTGTGGTAGCTCGGTGTTCTGTGATTGCGTCAGGAAGGACATCTGGCGTAAAAACAATTGCCAAGTCTTCATGCGAGTTAGTTCGCTGTGGCAGCCCCTGAAGAAGGATGAAGCCGAAAGAAGGAGAATAAAAAAAGTTAAACACTAAAATAAAAATAGCATTAGAAAACAAAAACTGTCAGGGTTTTTGGAGGTTTGTGCCCCAAAATTTAGACAAACACGAGCTCGAAGGAAAGAAAAATTTAAAGTTATTAAACAAGAACGGCTGATGTGGCAACAAAACGAACTTACAAAAACAGCATGAGGACAACACGAGGGCGAACCGGACATGGCGGAAAGCTCAACGATGCTCGACTGAAGCGTATTAAGAACAGAGGTAATAAAAAGGTTGGCTCTAATGAGAGAGGCTGTTAATGGAGAACAGGTGGGTGTGGCAGGACCGAGGAGCAGAGGCTATCTGAAAAAATACTGAGGGTAGCTGGAAACAGGAATGTAAAGGAACAAACGAAACAGAGAGACCACGAACCCCATAAGAATGAAACATGAAAACAAATCTCACGACAGAAAAGCACAGATCATAACTAAAATAGAGCAAGTAGCTGAAGCAGTTTAGAAAGAGAACAATATTTTGAAGGAAATTAAAATATGTCACTGTATTCCTATGGGGAAACTATAATATAAAGGTAAATATTTAGAAAGGCATAAAAGTTACAAAACAAGCGTCTCCTGAATGAGCTGAACCTTTTCATATTTGGATAAAACAGCCCAAATGATGCAGAAATACACTGCAAAAAACAGAAAACAGCTGTGTACAGTACTTTGTGATATATAGCCTTTAACCCAATTTATATCAAACTCAAGATTTATTATTTTTCTTTCCCATATTTAACTTCAGTTTTTACAATATCATATGTGAAAACACTAGTTTCAGATCATCTAAAAAGGTTTAGTCAGGTCCTCTGGACGGATTCCTGTTGAAACGTTTCATCTTTTATCCAGACAACTTCTTCAGTCTGAGGAGCTGCAACAAAGACTTATAAACAGCATCTTCTCAGAATAGATCAACCAGTTTCACCAAAGTTCATGCTCAATAACCCAGGTAACAAATCCAACAATGTTCTGTCAGGTCATCTGGATGGTTTATTTTTTGTGCTGAAACATTTTGTCCTTCATCCAAAGGACTTTCTCAATCTGAGAAGGTTTGGTGCCTTGTTGGACATTGTTGGCTCAACCAGTTTGTTGGTGACAGTCAAAACTAGCTGTTCACATGATAAAGGCAGCCCGTCATCCTAACAAATGATCGTTAGTGCTCTCGTGGCCGCTTGCTATTCACAGAAGGCTGAGTGATACTAGTAATAACAGCATTGTAAGAGAAGGACAGTTGGACACGGAGGCCTCCGCCCCTGTTTATTGATGGATGGTTTCTCTTCACAAAGATGGCCTCCTTCACTCCTCTCTCAAACCAGCGTTCCTCTCAAGGATGTGCACATCTTCATCCCTGAAGGAGTGACCACTGGCCTGGAGATGAGTGTAGACTGCAGAGTAGTTGCAGCTAATTTCAGCATATTGGGAGGTGTCAAGCTCACTTACAAAAGGGGGCCAAAATTAAAAACTTGGTTCAAACTAAGGACCAATTTCAACAACTGCATTAACTCAAGTCAGATACCCAGCATCTTCTCTTTGTCACATGTTCCTCAACAAGAGTTTGATTGGTCTCATCTGACGTTCTCTGTTGCACTTCCCACATCATAATCAAAGATTACTAAAATAATTCAAGTGATAAAAGTATTTTACGTTTGACATAGCATCTTGGGGACTGTAGAAAATGTCAACGAGGGCCACATTTGGCCCCCGGGCCTTGACTTTGACGTGTTTTTGAATATAGGAACAAACGTATTCTTTCGGGTGTGTTTTTATTTGACATGACTAATTTATTTTTATGTGCTGCTTCCTCGAGTAAAGATTTAAATTATGAGTTTGAAAGGGAACATCTGGAATGTGGGAACATGCCTTTTCAGTGGGAGTCACTAAATGGTTCGAAAGCACAAATTTAATATTAAACCAGGTCTATTGAAGTGAGTCATCTGTTCTTTTCATAAAAGGATTTAATTAGGAAAGTAATGGTAAATATTAGATAAAAGTACCTCACAGCTTATGTTCAAAAATGACATTTTAACAAAAAAGTAGCTTTTACTGAGTACTAATAATTGTTTATGATCTGATGAAGAAAAGAAGCAAAACACATTTTAAAAGCTATAGACTATTTGAATGTATGCACATTCAAAGTCTGACAACAGAAATATAAAATATATATGCATATATTTGCATAAAGTATATTTACGTTTTGACATAGTTTCAGCAATTAATGTTTTAAAATGTCAGTTTTCAATCTAGCTCATAATTTAAAAAGTTAACGGAGATAAAAACACAACTTTTAATGTTTGTTTTAATCCTGTGGATGCATAACATGAAACTTGCACATCACTGCATGCTTTCTGCAGTTATTTTTTATTTATTTGTTTTTCATTACTTTAGTCTTAATCTGTTATTACTGGTTTGCCTTGGTTGTCGACCTGAATATCCCCCCATTCCCCCCCCCCCCCCAAGCTAACAAACCCATCTACAGTCCACACCCTCCACTCTGAGAACATTTGTTGAGAATCCTGGAATAATACGGCAGCGAGAGGGTCGTATTTGTTCTTTCTGGGTGGCTCCTGCAGCTCACAGGCGGAGGAAATGTTTCTGCTGAAGAAACAGATAGGTGCGAGGATCTAAACTTAACTTGCTGTAAATCACACACACACAGGCAGTGGTGAGACAATGCGTGTGCCCATGCATGCCTTGGCTTAAGCCTTTTGTCAGACGCAGCTTGCTGGCCTACCTGGTTTCTCCCCCTATAGTCCTCTGTAATATACAATATACAAAGTGTTTTAGCCTTGTAGACTTATGATTGAATCTATGTGTGTGTGTGTGTGTGTGTGCAGCAGTGCTGATAATGGTTGGTCAGCTGGTATGGCGAGTATTCAGGGCGGGGGCAGTGCATTGTCCTCTCATAGCTCCAACAATGCCCCACTGAGCAGGCCACACATCTATCTACCAGTCACGGGCCTCTCTTTCCTCTCTCGGCCTCCGGCTCTGCTGTTCTTTCTGTCTGCCATGTTCGCTCAGCCCTCAGTGGAGAGCAGGGTGAGGTGTGAGCGGCGTGCCTGTAACCTCTGACCTCCGCCTGAAACCTCAACGTCAGGCAGCGCCTGTCAGTCATCGCATCAAGTCCCGAGTGTTCATTATTGTTTTGAATGTTTTGATTAAAAATGAGCCTCGGTTGTTGAATATACCTTAGTGGCAGTAATAATTTACATAAAAGCACTATCAGTTTCTGAGTTCATCAAATAAACTCTAATATCAGTTCAGTTCCGTTTATTTATAAAGCACCCATACACAACACTCACTACATAAAGAAATATATAAAAAACAGGTCCAAATCATGACTCCAATTCAACTCTAGATTAATTTCAGCCGATTAATTCCTATTCTAAAACGCTGCATTAACAATGTGTTCTGACGCCAGTGAGTAAAAGTTATCTTTCTAAAGAAACCAGCAGATTGCCTTGAATCGTCACTTTGCTGCAATCCCCCATTTCAGGAAGCACATGGCGACTGTGGAAAGCAACGATTCCCAGGGAGAAACCTCCAGCAGGACCAGAACCAGGACGAGCAGCTCATCTGCCTCGACTGGCTGGAGGTCGAGAGGACAGGAAAGAGACACAAACTACAAGTGGTCTGGGTGTGGCAAGAAAAACAGGTGAATGATACCAGTAATTGCATGTGGAAAACAGAACGAGGTCCTCGAGCAGTCCAAGTCTTTTAGGGCATAACTTCAAGATGGTAAATGGACTGTACTTGTATAACGTATTTCTATTTTATCAAGATACTCAAAGCTCTTTACAATCTGTGCCCTCATTTACCCATTCATAGAGCACTCTACTAGATCTTTACAAGACTAATCAGATCACATTCATACATCAATGGGACACACATCGGAGGCAATGAGGGGTTCAGTGTCTTGTCCAGGGACACTTTGGCATGTGACTGCTGGTGGAATCGAACTCCCAACTCTTGCATTGGAGGACGACTGCTCTAACCACTCAGCCACAGCCGCCAAGATGTCTAAAAAATCTCAAGCCAACCCTAACTTTAGGATTGATCAAAAAGTAAAGTCTTAACAGTAGACAGAGTGTCAGCCTCATGGACAGAAACTGGAAGTTGGTTCCACAAGAGGAGCCTTAAACTGAAAGCCCTGCCTCCCATTGAACTGTTAGAAACTCTAGAAACCACACGTAAACCTGCAGTCTGAGGGTGAAGTGCTCTGAGGAAAAAGTACGGAACAAGATCTTTAATATAAGATGGAGCTTTGTTGTTGTTTTGGTTGTAATCTGCCAGATTAGACTTCACAAAAAAGTTGACAGTTTTCTTTTATTTAGGCCAAGCAGTACAACATACAGTCAATGTAACTGTAACTGTCTAGAGCTATGGCTCTCAAACTGTAGTACAAGTACCACTGGGAGTACTAAGGATTTATCTGGCGGTTCAGTTTTAGTATAAACTATTGACAAGTAAAAAAAAAAAAAGAAGCTAAATACTTTGTCATAACTTTAACTGTGATGTAAAACTACACCAGAAAAATGAGCAGTTCAAGCAAATTACAATCTTGGCTCCAAATACTTGAAACTTAAAGGCAGCAGAGAGTATTTCAGTGATCCCCATTGAAAACGAAGAAGAGTATAGTGGTGTGCAATACTTAAGCAGTCACCGTAGGACCAGCTAAAAGGTACAAAATAGTGAAATTAGATTAAATTTATCTCAAATATGTTGTGGTGCAGAGGAAGACACAAGTCTGCAGGGACTATGGTGACTTAGGAATGGGATCGTAAACTACACCTTTCAACCAGGGTTACATATGTTTTATGTACCTTGAAGGTTGATCCTGACTCAGTCCAGGCACCAGAACTGATTAGAGTAAGGAGTCAAAGGCGAGGCTCAAGATGGTGCATTTCAATAAGATCCCATCTCCTTCTTTTAGCCCAGGAGTTAAAATGTGAGGATCGGAATAAAATAGTTGTTCATTGACAATTTACACTCCTAAAAAGTGACATCAGAGCTGATAGAACTGATCAAATAGCATTAATTAAAAAGCTAAAGAGATGTGTTCTCTTTCACTTAAAAAAAAACAAACAAACATTTTTCCAAGGCCAGGACTGTGTGATAATGATGACAAGACGCCCCCTTGTGGCCTTTTTGTGTAACTGAAGCAGATGAGTTCTTACAAGCTGTCAAATTTATCACAGATACTGAAAGACATTTGGAACCCCAATAAATCAAATTTGTGGTGACACAATAACAGATTTCTATATATAGATAATCACTAAAACATAAACCACAGATTAGACAGTCCCATGTGAAAAATAAAACTAAATACTGCATTGTTTTGTCTTTTTTTGTTACCTGCAGTAACAGTAATGCATGTGAGGGACACAGTTTGCTGTCAGCAGAGCAGACTGCTGTCTTGAAACAACACGTATTGTACTTTATTTTAAACTTATTTGCTGCAAATGCATTATTGTTAAATAAAAGTTGTGTGGCCAAAGAGGCTGTTTTGTTGGAGTGTTAGCAAACAAATGTGAAAACTGACCACCAGCAGCCAAACAAACAGGGATAAATGTTTAAGAAATAATCATTAGATATATATTTGTGACAACATTTGTTGGAGCCAGTGCAATTCAAGATGGCCTCCATAGCTTTAGGGAACGCTAGGCTTCTCATTTTAGTGCTAGAGCTGTCAGACTTTGCTTACAAATTATTTTATTTTTAGCATTTATATTTACTGTGTCTTTAAGAAAGTAGTTTAAGTAAACAGAAACTCAAACTGCTAAGAGACAAATGATGAAGTTTGGCTCAGATGCTGCAGTTGATTACTGATTTAATTCTAGCATCAAGCAATCTACATCCTGTTTCTCTTTCCGTACGTTTTTTTTGGCATCTAACTTGTTCTACAATGTTTGTGCCTGTTCGGCATTTCATATATCCAAACATTTGTCTCATTCAGGACATTCCTGCTGTGACTTTTGGTATTTGTAACATTTTTACTTTTGAGATATTTAGCTTTTCCGGCCGTGTTTTCCTCATTGAAAATGAATGGAGCTCTCTTCTCATCCTTCAAAACCTCTGTGCTATTTAAACAGCTCATTTCAGCTTTTGTTTAGATTTCTTTCAGCTTCTTCATGCTAATTTCAGCTGTTTTCTGCTTCTTTCAGCTAACTTTTAGATATCTTTCTGCTAACTTGAGCTTTTTCCTGTATTTCTTTTCCTACTTTGTACTAAATTACTATGTTTTCCGCTGTATAAGATGCAGGTTTTTTTGCATACACTTATACGCCGAAGTGACTTATATATGTTTTTTTTTCATATTCATAACACAATTTTTGACTGACACTTCAAATTTCTAAGAACTGCAACAGTGAGTCCTCCCATGCGTGCTTCACTCAGCTGGTGCAGGCGGAGGAACACTGGGAGCAGCTCCGGCCGCGATGGATGGTGCCGCGCTGCCCAGGTGAAATGAAGCTGTTTTGACCATTAAATAAACTCATAATAAATGCAACTTGTTTATGTTTTTTCCTTTTCTTGATGCTTTTTTTGACTGATGCGACTGATGCGACTTATACTCCGGAGTGACTAATCCGCCGGAACATACGGTAGTCCTTCCTTTTTGTGCTAATTTCAGCTTCCTTTTGTTAATTTTAGGGTTTTGTGTGGGTTTTTTTTCAGCTACTTTTCTGCTAACTTCAGACGGTTTTTTTTTGGCTTCTTTTTTGCAACTTTTTCTACTTTTAGCTTCTTGCTTTGTTTCTGCTACTTTTTGTTTATTTGAGCTGTTTTTTTTTGTTTGTTTTGTTTTTGCAGTATTTTTTCTGCTGTTTTCTCTTTTGTGCTCCTTTCAGCTATTAATCTATTTCAACTAAGCTTCAGCTTGTCCAGCAGCTTTTAGCAAAATCGTTCTGTGATAAGCAACATTCAGCATTAACACATTTTCACAGGATAAGCATATTCTCTAGTTCAGTTTTCCAACACAAGTCTTTAATTAGGATACTTTTCATTACCCAGTGGAACTAAAATAATTCCCCCCCCTCTTTTCTGTGCATTTTTCATCAACTTTTGTTAAAAATGCCTCATCACTGTCTTGTTTTCCTCTCGTCTTGCCCTGATCTTCACTTTCTCCTGTTTGTCTTGTATCATCTCCTCCTCCCTGGTGTGAGTCCTGCAGCAGGATCTCCCCTGCTCACCTGCTGGAAGGCTTCATGCTAATCTCAAGCCGATTAGGCTTCTTATCTTCTCAGCTCTGTTTATGTGCTTTGCTCCAACAAAAATACCGCGCAGAGTCGGCCTCTTTACTGTTCCTGCTCACTCTTCACAGCCTCACCCCCCGTCCTCCGCCCCACATATGGTCTTAGTAAACCACACTAGTTTTGATATCATGGCTCCTCATTCTTGGAAGGTTGTACGAAACGGGGATTTCAGCTCAGATGCACGCGTTATTAAAGGTTTGTGTCTCAGGAGGATGGATAAACAGGACCTTTCTGGTTATTATTTACCAATATGCAGGCTGAAGGGATCAAAGATGTGTTATTAGTATCTCGTGGAGGCATAAAAATCAGACAAAGCCGTCACAACAGAGCACATTTTACCCAGTAAAACGATCTGCACGCACATGTTTGTGCTTTTGTATTCTTTGTGAATGCATTCAGGGTCTAACGCGCACACACACACACACACACACACACACATGCTCTGACACTGGACATGTGAAAAGTCATCCCATGTCCATGTGAAAGCAGTAATGCCGTAATTACTGTTATCCTATTGACTTAATCAGGAACCCTGCGGGACTCACAGCAGGGCTCTCAAGGTCGGGGAAACACAAAAACTATAATTTAACCATTGGATTACAACTCTAAAGTCTTTTATTAATTTACACAGTTGTTGTTGTTTCTTCTACACAAACACACAAAGCCCAAAATGGCATAACTTGGATTCAAGTAAAACATTTAGCTTACATTATTTAAAAAAAAAAGTAAAATCTTTTCTACATCATTTACAAAGACGTAGTTGTTACAATATACATACATACATGTATATACTGTACGCGTTCATAAGGAGATTACAGGACAGGGATCGAGGAGCTCAAATTTTAGCTGCCAATTTATTGATACTGTTCTGAAATTGTCCCTTGCTTCACTTCAGGGTGCACCTCCTGACTTTCATCCCAACGTTCATCTGGACTCGATTCAGATTTTCCTTTATCCAGGCTTGGACAGCAGGATGGAAAGAGCATGGGGTGGAATATGAGTGGAATAATTTTTCCTGTGTGGTTTATTGCTCAAAAGCATTACAGAGAGGTCAGACATGTATAACGCCGTGCATCCTGGAGAGTGAATATCTGCAACTTTGGCTTCCAAGAGAGGGGGAGTTGCATAGCAACCACCATCCCCACAATGACCACTTTACATTGGAAAAAATACACCCCTACTTGCAACCAGAGAGCATCTTATCCTTATCAATAATTATTACAGTTAAAATTATTTTTTACAGCATTAATAATAAAATCCAGATTAAGATAATATCAAAACTTTAAATATATTTAAGAAGATACAGCGAAGCAAAGTTGGATCTTGACAACTGAAAGCCAGGATTTAATAACCTCTATGTGTACAGAGTTGTTTATTTGAGAAGTCTTTTTGTAATTAAGTCCATTTAAAAGTGTGGTTAATAGGATAAATGTGAGTAGGAAGTGTCTACAGAATGAAGTCTGGTAGAAAACGCCCCCTCTTTTGTCTCCACGTGAGGTGGAAGTTAGCTCAGTTTCTGCAGGTGGGGGTTTGCTCAGCTCACAGTTGCAACAGGTTCCTCGCCCCCCTCCTCCACCTTTGCGCCTTTGCCCATGGTTTTCATTTTGGTCATGATGTCAGTGAACGTCTCCTTCACCGTCTTCTCGAGGAGGTAGCCCTCGCTGTCGCTCTCCATGTCCTCTGGGTTAGCCAGCGTGGACAGGGAGCTGTGGACGTACTGCAGGCCGACGGTCACGGCCACCTGCAGAGGACAAGAAGACCGAATCTGTCACAAACAATAAACTGTTTACAAACACACAACATATTTTAAACTCATATATCGAACAATTTAACTGTAAATTGAAAGATAACAGAGCTTTTTTTTTTAAAACTTCTTTAAACTAATAAAACTTGAATATTCTAAAATAGAAAAAGTTTAATATTTAAATAGGTGCTACAGCTTTTGTTTTTTTTTATCTTTATATACATATTTAAAAAATGTAACTTTATTTACTAATATTTTCCACATGTGATCACGTCGTTTCTTTCAGAAACATTGATCTTTTTAAATCTGCTTCCGCAAACGGTCTCTATTTTGCCTTTTAGCTACCATTTTGCTAAAATAATAATTGTGTTTTTAGCTAGCCTTTTGCTGCTTTTGTTAGCTATTTGCTGCTTTTAGTTTTTAACTAGCTTTTAGCTTCTTTTAGCTACCATGTTGCTACATTTTAATTTCACTACTTTAAACTTTGAACTGGCCTTTTTCTACTTTTAGTTTCTATTATCATTATTCTATGTTTAGCTTTTATTTAGTCTTTTGCTACTTTTAACTAGCACTCCACAACCATTGACTTAGCAATTGGCTTTTTTTTAAACTTAGATTGTTAGCCTTTTGACTTTCAGCTAGCATTTTACCAATTTAATCTTTTACTATCATTTTTCTGCTTTGCGTTTTGCTACTTTTAGCTTTGTTTTGCTAATTTTAGCTAGCACTTCACAACCCTTGACTTAGCAATTAGCTTTTTTTTTACCTTAGATTTTAGTTAACCTTTCACTACTTTTTGTTAGCCTTTTGACTTCTAGCATTTTACTAATTTAATCTTTTACTATCATTTTGCTGCTTTACCACTAGCTAGCTTTTTGCTACTTTTAGTGAATCTTTATTACTTTTAGTTACAATTTTATTACTTTAAACTTTGAACTGGCCTTTTTCTACTTTTGGTTTCTATTATCATTATTTTATGTTTAGCTTTTATTTAGTCTTTTGCTACTTTTAACTAGCACTCCACAACCATTGACTTAGCGATTAGCTTTTTTTAACCTTAGATTTTTAGCTAACCTTTTGCTACTTTTTGTTAGCCTTTTGACTTTTAGCTAGCATTTTACTAATTTCATCTTTGACTATCATTTTACTGCTTTACCATTTAGTTAGATTTTTGCTACTTTTAGCTTTGTTTTGCTATTTTTAGCTAGCACACCACAACCCTTGACTTAATGATTAGCGTTTTTTACATTAGATTTGAGCTAACCTTTTGCTACTTTTGTTAGCCTTTAGACTTTTAGCTAGCATTTTGCTAATTTCATTTTTTGCAACCATTTTGCTGCTTTACTATTTAGCTAGCTTTTTGCTACTTTTAGTTAATCTTTATTACATTTAGCTACAATTTTACTACTTTAAACTTTGACCTGGCCTTTTTCTACTTTTAGTTTCTATTATCAATATGCTACTTTAGGTTTTATTTAGCCTTTTGCTACTTTTAGCTAGCACTAAGCAACATTTGTTCAGCTTCGTCAGCAAGTTTCAGCAAAGCCCTTCAACACGCAGCGTTCACACTGCAGCTCTGCAGAAAGTGCCATATCTGTTGATCAAACTGCTTTCAATTTATTTTGTTTTTCAAGACAAAGAGGGAAAATAATCTGAAGTCCCCCTCAAGCTATACAGGTCATGAATCTCATGTGAACAGATGAAAAATCTGTTGCTTGAACGGGGGCATCAGCTGAGGAGATGAAGCTGCAGCGGCACCTCTTGGCAACCCATTCCTCCATCCCTGAACTCAACAGCTGTGTCAGACACTTGCATAACTCCTCCTAAAGCTGAAATTCTTCTGCGACTGATAAGCTCCCACGGTCTGCTTTAATCCATGTTTTGAGGACAGAAGTTTGTTTGCCAGATTTCCAGCACAAAGATCCTATCTAAATGTCTCTATTTACTGTCTGTTCTGATGTAAAATGTCCACATGAATCATTCTTGGTATCTTTGACTTCAAGGATTTATCTCTACATGTTTGTTCTAGGAAGCAGACGGTTGTAGAAGGGAGGGCCAAGACAACAACAACAACAACATATGATGGCAGTGAGCCTGAGGTAAGACTTAAGTGAGTAAAGATGAAGGAATTTGGAAGGACGCTGGAGGTTAAACGATGAGCTTACAGTGGAATTCACAGGTAACAGTCGGGAGGACATTTTGAAAGGAAAGACAGGAAGTGGATAATGCACAAAAAAGGACAGAAAGAAGGAAAAGCAAGAAGGAATTTCAACTGCTTTGCATGTTTATACTCCCTACAGAAACAGTCTAACTCATTACCAGTTCAGTGTTTGATTTGGGGTCTTCTTGATCATGTTAAATGCTTTATTTAAAAATAAAATCAACATTTTTTCTTACATATTCATTGCCACAGCACCTCTTGCCAGGTATGCTTCTTTTGTAGCTCTTTTTCTTTAAATCCCCCCTCATGCAGTCTGTTTAGTCAGATGTTTGAGCGTAAAGCCACTTTTAGACCGTTTGCATTGTTCCTGAACAACATACAGTCTATTTTTTTTGGATGTGATTTTTCCTCTTGCTTGAACTCTATCTCACTAATTGCTGTCTTGTCTGGAAATCCCTCTACACGTGCATTACTTGATTGTTGCAGGCAGACCTGCTCAAACCCTCTCGTGGAGTTTGTAAGCTCTATCGGATGCATCATACTGTCAGGTGTTTCACACATACCGCAATGCGCGAGAGCGAGAGTGGTGATCAACATAACCTAACCAGCTGCTTTGTCTGCATTTGATGGATCCAAACGCTGCAGACTTGACGTAATACGTTACATGCAGAAGAGCAAAAACCATAAAGCCTGGCCTCCAAAGGAGACATTTCAAACATGCTACATTTCATTTCCTTTGATTTTGGAATTTTGGAGCACCCCACAATTACAAATGTTCTGCAGTTTTAAAACATTTTATAAAGATCGTTGTGATTTGTTAGAAATTACCTTTACTTTGCTGCACTTACATACACATATGCACCAATATGAATCCAAATTTTACGTTTTTTTGGTTCTATATAGTCTGACTTGCACAATATGACAGCTAAACATGAGTATGTCTCATTAATGAAAACAAAACTTGTTTCATATATAGTTCTTGTTGGTTTTGAAAGGGTATTTTCACTTTAAAGCAATTATTAAGTGATGTTTACTAAACTGTTTTTGCTTTTTAATTGAATGAGGCTGAAGTGGGAGATGTGTGGCACCTCTTAATCAGGCCAATCCAAGCAGACTCCCTAACATACATGTTTTTCAAGAAACCTGCACAAGTAAATGAAAATCATTAAGATGTGTAAGTGAATCCCAAATTCTAAATAATTTGGCACAATTTTGCCAGACCAGTGAGTCACTCATGAAGCCACATTTCTTGTAAAAAATTTGAAATGTGCTGCAAAACACAAACTGAATTCTGACAAATGCATTAAATTCACTCTTTCAAGCATTTGCTATAAAACTTGGCGTGCACCACAGAATGGAGATTTTTGTTTCAGTTTCCAAACTTTTAGCTAAAACTGTGTGAAATATAAAAAAGATGTGATCCACCTAAACTTGTTAAAGCGAGATAAAACATAAGCAGAACATTTGAATGTTGGCACCAGCAGATCTGACCTCCAACATGGTGACCAGCAACACCAGCGCTCCGATAGAGTTCATTATGCCTCCATAGTAGGACAGCAGGGCGTCACGGCAGCCACGCTTCCAAACGTTGAGCTCCTCCGTGTAGTGGTCGTAACTGTAGTGAGCCGAGTTGTTAGTCATCTGCTGCTGGATGCAGGGCCTGGGGGAGCTGGGGTTGCAGCAGCTGAATGGCACTCCATCCATCAAGTACTGCCCGTCCACGTTGCTTCCGATGCGACTAAAAGAGCAAAGCCAAGTTTTGAATTAGAGATGAAAGTCTTTATTTGAAGCTAGCATGGGCTAAAATGACTTCAAACTTAACCTACAAGTCCATGATGGACTTCTCTTTTTAAACACGGTTTTATTCTATTGTCTTGTTTCTGAATATTTTGAGGCCATAGAAACCGATTCAGTGCCTTAGAAGAGGGAAACGTTCGTCATAAAGCATGAATAATACTGCAGGAAAGATTGTAAACTGATTCCCACCTGTAACTTGAAAAGCTTGATGTGCCATATTTCAAATGAAGCTAAACTTTCTAGCTTTTGTTAGCAGACCCACTGATTAGCATGTCTAAAGAATCGGACAGGTTTGTACAGTTGCAATGTGTCGTGCAAAGCACTCAACTAAATGTGCACAAGTGGGTTAAAGATCAATCTCACAAGCTGATCTCATCTCTGACTGATGGTTGTAGGTCAATGGAAAGACAAGTGTGATTGGATCACAAAGCTTCATTGACTTCCAGAAACACCACTATCTAATCAGGAGCAAAAGTAATGCCTGAGGTTGCACTTTCAGTAAAACTACAAAGACTTAAGAAATGTCAGTCCTGTGGAGGAGAGCGATAAACTCTAGTCAAGCAGTTTGTAATAATAAGAGTGCTTTTTATGATGGATTTTAAATGATTTGTAAGCTAACAAAGGTCTGCAACGGCATCATAAGAGTTACTGTCAACTCGTGGTTTTCAACAATGAGGTAGACAGAGGTCAGTTTTCTGGTAATCGCACAAGAATGTGTTCTTTACGTTGTTGAGCAGTGCTATTCTTGGACGGTTGTCAGGTCTTCTGCAGATTGGACAGGACACTGATTCTTGAGGGACATGTAATCCCAGAGATTAAACACTCATTATGTGCCAGCTTTCAAAAACGGTCCCCTTCACAATTGTTAAGATAAGTGATACATTAAAAGGCTAACAACTATTGGATCCTTGCAACACACTTTCAATTCAACATGTGCCATTTAGACATGTGTATGTTTGGTTGCTAAACATGGAAGCACGTTTCCCTTAAGTTTATTAATGAAATGACCATGCAACCTCTTTCACCTCCAAGCCCACCATTGCCAGATCCATATCCCCACCTGTACCTGTCACCATTATTCAGAAGGTATTTCTAAGTGGAAGAAAGTGCAGAGTACAGCTGCTCTAACCTTTCTCCAATCCACTTATGCTCAGCTCTGCACAAATAACATCTATAGTGCTTCACCTTTCAATGTCAAGCTTACACACTAAGACTGAAAAAGAGCTCATTTATGCTCACACACCTCTCTCTCTCTCACACACTCACACACCAGATGATCATCAGATTGTTGTAAGGGATTTAGCTTTCGATCTTTGTCACTCACTCTTTCACTTCCTTGGCGCTGAAGTCCAGGTAGCGGTTGCTGACCCACTGAATCTCAAACCAATCTCTGTAGTTGTCATTACCACAGCAGCGGAACTCCATCTGCATCAGGTCTAGGGTCCTCTTCATGTAGCAGCGTCCTGGTGTGTCCGTGTCCTTGTAGTACTTCATGCCGTTCTTCAGCCCCTCGGCCAGGGTGAACTGCAGGGGGATCCGCATCACGAAGCAAAGCAGGGACGTGAAAAACAGCAGGGTGTTGAACACCATGCACAAGACCAAGAAGGTCTTCAGCATGGGCTTCCACTTTACAAACTTGGTAGGGTCCAAAGAGTCGTAGCAGACTTTGCCTCCAAAGGCGTTGATAGCACAAGCTATGAGTCCCATGATTATGAGCACGTTGGGCAAGAAGTGGCTCTCGTTGTTGTCCATAAGTTCTGAGCGCTTCCGCAACTCAATCTTGAAGAACAGGCCCAAGCTGAGGACCAGGATGCCTGCCAGTACAGCAAACCAGTACATAAACCATACCGTCTGTGCGAGCTTCACTCGCTTTTTCAGATCAAACTTGACCACCATCAAAGCCATGGTTCAACCTGTAGCACGTCCTTGTCTTTGAAGAAACTAGTCAAATGATGAAGAATTGCAGAAGCTCCAAGGTTTCCAGACGTACTGAAGCTAGATGGATGCTCTTGAATATGCCAACCTTCAGTTCTTGTTTCCTTGTTATCAGTGTTTCCTCTTGTTGATCAAACAGAGCAGGAAAGTCAGCTCAAGTTAAAATCCATCCCACAACAAGGAGCTGAATTCAAGGAATTAAGGACTCCAGAGTGGCAAAGGAGTCTTAGTTCTTCAAAACTTTCTCCTTGCCCATTGTGCCAGAAAAAAAGATAAAGGTTCATAAGGCTCTACTTCTGCACATTTGTCTTTTTTCTTTACTAACTCACAGGTGAAGCTAATCCCGATGTACTGTTCTCTTGGAGAGGTAGAAGATTGCAGAGGAGCCTCATGATTAAACTCCAAGTTGTCGTACGTCATGCTAAGCCCCTGTAAGCAGCCTGATCCAATTTACAGAAATCCCCCCACACAAGATGAGCCTGATCGTAAGCCGCTACCAGGGACCATAATTGGTTTGAGAGTTCACGTGGTTGTGGCCACCTCCGTGAAACGCACCTGGAGACCGAGGTTTGCAGAGATCATGGACTTGACAGTGGAAATAAACGTGAGACCATTCACAGGTCCGCGCCACAAACCGGATGCCTTCACAGAAAAGCAAATAGGCCGACCGAGGTTCAATCATTGACAAAAACACTGTCAGGTTGATATAGCAATCGTTGCACATTAATTCAATAAGAAATTGGTCTTTCTTTCCCAATGGACCCTAAACCAGAATGGAAACAAACTCAAGATTTAACACACGTTTCTTTATAGGATGGTGTTTATATTACAGTAGTCCCTCGCTACTTTGCAGTTCAACTTTTGCAGACATGCTCTTTCGCAGTTTTTCAAAGTACAGTACAGTACTAAGATTGTACATGACAAAAAAAAAAAAAACAAGAAAGTGCCGCCATTTTGTAGTTTTCTCTCAATAAGCTTACACTGTATTGCCAGTCTAAAGGACTACATTGCCCAGAAGGCAACATTGCTTTCTGCTGAAATGTAGGGAAAGTTTTGATCCAATCCGAAAAAGTTCTGTCCTTACAGTATTCGTAGTGGCTTCTGCACTCAGTAGATGCAGAGAGCCGATCATAACCGGGCCAGAACCGGACGAAGGCTGTGTAGGTCTGCCGAACCAGAACCGAGCCGAACTGGAACCGAGCTGCTGCAGAGCTGGTGAATAAAAAGGCATTACTACTCACTGAACTTAAAATTTTAAGTCGAGTGAATAAACGTTATCTAGTTAATTAATAAACTCTTGCTTTAGTTTAGTTGATTTAAATTTATTAATTGAACTGTTTTTGTATGATGTTTCATCTCAGAAATTTATGTCATTTCTACTTCACGGTTTTTCACTTATTGTGGTGGGGGTGTCCAGAACGTAACCCCCGTGATAAACGGTGGACTACTGTACAGTGTTTTTCTGAATACAGTAGTCCCTCGCTACTTCGCGTTTCATTTTTCACGGATTCGCTATATCACGGTTTTTCAAAGTAAGATTGGACATGGCACAAGTGGCTGATTGATGGATGAGCCATGGGTTGTTTATTTAAAATAAATTGTTTTAAATGATTTTGCACCATGTGTGCAGCCCACGAGTGCAGGGGGAAGCTCCCTCCTGCAGCTGATCAGCGGATCTCTTTTTCTGCATGCACACATTTCTCCTCAGTTGCATCGGCTTTGTGAAGTGTTAACCCTTTGCTGTCCAGATGCACCAAACCACTTTTGTCTTCCAACTTAAAATTCAAAGTATGTCACATCATATAATAATCATAAGCACAAAATATAAAAGTGTTAAAAGTTATTTTTTAATTATTTTAGAACTTATGTTCAGTTGTGCCTCTCAGCGAGCAGGTCCCTGGTTCAAACCCCGGTCCAGGGGCCTTTCTGGGTGGAGTTTGCATGTTCTCTCCGTGCATGCGTGGGTTTTCTCCGGGTACTCCGGTTTCCTCCCACAGTCCAAAAACATGCATGTTAGGCTGATTGGTAACTCTAAATTGTCCCTAGGTGTGAGTGAGAGAGTGAATGGTTGTTTGTCTCGTTTGTCTCTATGTGGCCCTGCGATGGACTTGCGACCCGTCCAGGGTGTACCCCGCCCCTCGCACAGTGATTGCTGGACATGGGCACCAGCGACCCCCGTGACCCAAAATGGAATAAACGGGTAAAGAAAATGGATGGATGGATGGATGTTCAGTTGTTTCAGTGTAATTGATCAAGAAGTATATTTGTGCTCCGTGTTGCAGAGCTGCGTGAAGGGAGTGCTGCTAAACTTCTCTTGTCTACAATTTAAATTTAAATACTGTAACATTTTAAATAAACAATCCACGCATGGATTGTTTATTTAAAATGTTACAGTATTTAAATTATTTATTTATGGAGGGAGATTGGGAGTAACAGGTGATGAGTGAGTGTGATTGCAGCCTGGCACATGTCATGACAAAGTTTACTGAACTTGAACTTGGACTACTGTATCCCTACTTTGTGGTTTTTCACTTATCACTGGCGGGCGTGGTCCCTAACACCTGCGATAAACGAGGGACCACTGTACTTCAATGAACCTCAAAGCTAAATAATCACCAATCCGTTTATTTTTATTTATTTACCGGTAGTTGTGTTGATATTTTGACCACACATGTAGAAAAGGAACAACAGTTGGGTTAGCTCTGTTGCCTCACGACAAGAAAGATTTTGGATTTGGGATCCTTCAGTGTGAGACATTTGCGTGTTCTCTTTGTGAATGTGTGGGTTTGCTCTGGTTTTATCTTACAGCCCCAAAATATACATGTTAGGTCAGAGCTACTCATCGCAGTCATAAAGACAAGTTAAAGATTTGTAAAGAACAAAACCGTTTTTCTTTCATATACATACTTAATGTGCATTTAAATAAAAAATAACTTTAAGTAAAATTGGTGATTGGATGACAGCTACTCATCTGGTTGACTCCAAACACTGTGTATTAAAGTATGTGTTAGGGACGATGCACGGGTATTACCTTTTCAAAATTTTGTTTAATATCTTTAAAATTGTGAGAAGAAATAGATGTTTTCTGAGCTCTGTTGGCAGTGGCAACCATCTTGAACTAGGTTGAATTTAAACGTTAATCAGATGCAAATGTCAACTTGATATGAATACTTTCTGAAAACTTCTCATCAGAGCTACATTGATACTAAACGTTGTGTTGCCAGCTCCTCTGTTCAGTGATTTTCTGCAATGAATCATAATTGTGTAGTTTCACACTGCCACCTCTCAGTCTTCTGTCACCTTTGTTTCTTGGTTTTCTTACTTCTATTGCTGCTGAAGGTGAAAAGGCGATCACGTTTTTGGCCTATTTGTGGGTGTTTTTCTGTGCTGTTAACAAAATGTCTCACGAATCAGTGAATGGACGAATGAAGCCTTCAGAAAATAATTACTGGATGAACATCTACAAATGAATAGTCAGCTTGATTCAAGATGGATGCCACAGTCAGAGAACCTTAACAGAAACACAAAAACAGCTAAAATTCAGTCATTTTTACGGTTAGTGATGTAAAATTTGGAGTGGTAAACCCCAACTCATATTTTGAGCGCTAACGGATTGCGCAGATTCAAAATTTGTTACTAGCTATTTAAGTTTGTAAGCAAAATATCTCAAAAACCACTGGTTAGATTTTAATGAAATGTTCAGGAAATAATCACTGAGTGCACATTTGCAACTTTTTAATTTTTGTAGTTAATCAAATTCAAGATGACTGCCATCATTAATCAGTTTTGTAAACACAAAAATGGCTAAAATTCAGTCAATTTTACTGATTTAAAGTTTGAGCTGCATTTCTCAGCATAATATTTTAGTTTTAAACTCTTGTATGGAAAGTGGCAGGTGATATGCCTTCAAGGAATGCTAGACCTTTATTTTTTTTTTAACATTTACATTAAGATTTTTGCTAAATGTTGTAGTTAATTTGTAACTCAGTTTTTAAGTTTCAAACCAGCTTTAATTTTGAAACTACTTTTCAAGACTAAATACAGTTACTATTATCAAAGTTATTACATGTTGATAAATACTAAATGTCTTACTGTCTGAGACGCTTAAAGATAAAATTTGATCACTTTGTAGAATTTATAGAACAAGCCCTTATCAACTGGGCTACATGCTTTTAATTTGAAATGTTTTGAAACCGTTCGGAGCTAATCGTCAGCATCAGTACCTCATTTTATTGAAATTAAAAAACAAAGAAATGCGTGAGACTGTGCATGTCCAGCTGAAGAGTTCCCCCTCCGAAAAGAAAAGAGACAATTTCACAACTGTGAACAATTGGTGGTTAAGGTCGTCAATGAGTGCTATTCAACTAATACATTTAAATTTGGAAGTTCATAAGCAAAAGGATTATTTTAAATCAGTATTAAAATTATAAATAAATCCTACGTGATTAAATTTGAAGTTTTAGTCCAAACAAAAACTACTCACTATTGTTTATCAATTATTAGAATTTTACGCTTATAAAGACAAAACTAAATGTTTGGGGTGGGAGCTCCTGACTAAGGGGACAAAATAACTGGGGGCTTTTTGGAAACGAGTGAATCACAACGAAACTTTAATAAAAGGACGAACATACACAGAAAAAAAATCATGTTTCAAACACTTTCATCGCCATAGGTTTCAACACATGCAGTAGAACAAAGAGATGCAGTTTTCACTAGTTGTGACTAAAATCTATTCATCTGGAATGATTTTTTAAGCTTTGCCACAAGAGTGGTTTTAAAGTTGAAACATTCTAGATCCAGTGAGTTATGAAGCTTAAAGTGCCATGTTGAAATGATAGACAATAGCTTTAAATTTTAAGGGTCCCAGGTGGTTTTTCTATCTTCTTCTGGTATAACAGTCCAGTTTGGGGACGGTATCCCTGCTGCGAGCCAGTTGAAGTCATCCACCTGGCTCCAGTTGTTTCTGTCCTGGTCCAGGCCAGACACAGAGAAATCCTCCTCCATGTCGGGGTAAGTCCAGGACAACGGGGCGAAGCTCACCCTACGGCAGTCTTCTATAATGGCTCGGCTGGTGACGTGCAGGTACACCTGGGTGTCGGTGGTGTTGTGGGTCCGCAGCTGCTGACAGGGGAAGGCCAGGACGCTGTTCCTGCAGTGGTCTACAAACACAGAAGTAGCTACAGGTCCGCACAGGATCTCGCAGCCCTCGATGTGTTTCAGGTGCAGAGTGCTTGGGGAGCCGAACAGACGAACCTTACAGTTGGTCAGATGAGTCAACAGCACATCTCGGTTTTGGATTTCCTCAGCTGTCTTGGTTAGAAACTCATTGCTCATTTTGGAGAAGCCACACTGCTCAGAGGCTGGAGATCCATCCACCCTGATGATGCCTGAATCAGCAGGGGAAGGCCTATCTGTCACCTGTGCAGGGACGTTATCTGCAGCTTTAGCGCGAGTCCGAAAGGCGAACTTCTTCTTGGGCAGAGCTTCTTCTCTGATGTCAGCGAGGGAGGCTTGGAGCTTCTGAAGGGCAGCCTGGGAAGTCTTCAGCTGGTACTGGGATAAAACAAACATGTGGTCGTTGAGAAACTTCTGCAGCTGAGCAATTTTGGCTGTCGTCTCCTCCAGTTTCTGGGTGACATCAGCCCGGTTAGCTCCGGAGCAGCCGGACAGCAGCTCCTCGATAACCGCCCGCTCCGAGTTAAAGGTGCTGACGAAATACTCAGTTTTCTCCTCGGCGACAGTTTGGCTCCGTTTGCTTTCTTTCCGCCGTTCAGCATCTTCTATCCTCGCCTGGTGGCGTCTCTGAAGTCGCTCCTGCATTGTGGAGCCGCTCCTTTCTCCATTTTCGTCGCTAGCTTCCATTGCTGCGTCCCTGTTGTTAACGTATGTCGCGGGTGTATGACGTCACACCATATAAACGCGACGTGATTGGACATTAGCGTCACGTGCCGTCTTGGAGCTGGAGTGGACAAGTGCATGAATTCTGTCACTTAATATAAAAGTGAAATAAAGTCAAAATCAAAATATACTACAAAAAAGTAATAACGCCACTAAAAACTACATATTATATTTGTATTCTGGGGGTCGCTTAGATTTTGTGAACTGGTTTGTGCTTTTGTATATTTTGTAATTTTATTTTTTTTACAAATGACACATGCAGGACCTAAAAAAGCAAATTCAGTCAATTAATAAATTAACCATTATTTACCAAGCGCTTTACATACATACATACAAACAAGTAAAGAAAACAGCATGCAAAATCATTTATAATAGCAAATTTGTTATGCTTTCATTTTTAGCAATTGGAGGTTTACAACTAGCACTGTAAACACTAATTTCTCACATTTCAATTAAAAAATTGTGTTGTTTTTTTTTTACAATTATTCATCATATGGCAACTACTTTTAAACCCAAATGTTAACAATTTGTATTTACAATTTGTTTTCCTGCACTATACATCTAAGAGCGTGTGTGTTTGCTTATTCCTGTTTTGTGTACCTATCTTTTCTATGTATCCTGACGCATGCTCAGGCTCTTGACCATGTGAGCAGCTGGTTTTGGTTGTCAACAACAAACTGGTTGATCCACTGTGAGAAGGTGCTATTTATAAGACTGAGCTGAATACAGCGCCTCAGACTGAGGAAGTCTTTAGGATGAAAGACGAAACGTTTCCATTTGTTTTTGTTGTTTTGTTTTTCGACTGTCCAGAGGACCAGATTTAACTTTTTTTAGATATATTTTCTATGATTTTTACTTACTGAAATAATAATAATAAAAAAAAAAACAATCTTAAAAACAAAGCTTACTATTTTTGTTGCAGGGTTAGTTTAGTTTGTCTAGATGCATATGTGCATGGTGTTTCATAATGTAAGATGAAATTAGACAAGTTTTCCCACTGATTTTAACATTTGAATAAATACCTGAGCAACGTCAAGGTGTGCTGAACACAGGCCCGCCCTCTACCGTTAGTAATTAGGTCTAATAACTTTTGCCTTCTTGTTTATATTAACGAATTTTTTTTTATTTAAATACTTAAAATGTATAAAATCATGTTTGTTTTTTTATCAATGGTTTGCCCTCATTAATGTATTTCCCTTTGAAGTGTGTGAAGTCGCGTGCGCTCGTTGAGCACGGGTGATTTCGGTGCGAGCCCTACCCAGACAACCCGTGCGGCGATGGCGAGGAAACCCCGTCGACAAGACACTGGTTTTTCATGACGGTGAGTTCCCCTTTGAGTGTATTATAATTTTGTGATAAAAATTTCAAGGAAAAAACACACACAAGCTCCTTCCTCCCTTCCTTCAGGGAGGGAAGAGAGTTTGAGCGGAGAGAAAAATCTATCTGAGGCAGAACAGGGACGGTGAGGCAAAAAAATATATGAGAGTGGGAGAGGGAGAAGAAGGAGGAGGAGGAGAAGGAGGGGGGGAGCAAATTAAAAGTTGCCAAATGGAGATATTGGGTTTCAAGAGGAGTGAGACAGGAGTTAAAGGGTTTGCCTCTTTGAGTCGTCTTTATGTTATGCTAATCGGGGACAAATATTTATGGCTCGACGCGGTTTAGCCCTTTCCACGGATTCTAGCTTCCAAAATGAGGCGTCGTCCGGACACCGCCGGCTAGCTAACCCGAACCGCGGAACAGGCCGAGGGTTTTTAGGGCTCAAAATGCGGGACGGCGACCCGACCAGGACACGGATCGGTCCTAACGGCCGAATCGAAGCAGTTCGGTTCATGTCGATTCAAATGTGACGTTTTTCGTGTTGGCAGAGCTGAGCCCCGTCGACGACAAACGAACGCTTCCCCCAGCAGAGAAAGAAGGAGTACGTCAGCGGCGACGGGCGTTTTGTCCTGCTTCAATGCGATTATCATTCAGTCGATTCGGGTCTATTTTTGGACATTAAACTCTCAGAACTGAAACCAACCGGTGCTCGAAGCTAGCGCCCTCCAGCTAAAACCTGCCCCGAGTTGGACATTTTCTTCCTGCGTCGTGTCGCCCAACATGCTGGGGTTGCCAGAGCCTAAAAAAAAACCAGCACAAAATTACACTCGAGAAAAAATATATATTTTCGAATCGAAATTATATATATTTTTAAAAGCGTTTGAACATTTGGCACATTTCGAGACAATCGTTTCGTTTTTCTGTCAAAATAAACCCCCCCCCTTTTTTAAATAAGATATTTAGCAGCTCATTTTAAAGTAGTGAAATGCTTTTATTTATTTTACTTACTAGCTGCCCGTTTTGGCAACTTTTAAATAAATTGCAATCCCTTTTTCTTTACGATGGAAAATGGTTTATTTATTTTTATATCGATAAAGTCAAAGGAGCGTCGCTGTCTGGAAACTATCCTCTCAGACAACCTTTATTTGTTATAAATTAAAACTGCTTAATAAACACGGTCCCCTCTATTACAACATTATTACAGCTGTTTTGTTCAGGCACGGCTGCCCTCTTTGTTCTCTGAATCCAAGATGGCGGCCCAACGTGCTTCAGCTACAAAGACAGCCCTTCAGCCATTTTGAGCAGTGTTTTTCCCACACAACTCATCCACTTGCACACAAAATCGTTAATTTGTGAGACCTGGTGTCCATTTATGATGTAACGACTTAAAATCTTGATTTTTTTTTTTTACATCCTCTCAATACAGTTCCTACAAATCATTGCTCATGATCAAATAAATGCCCATGTGTTGGATTCCCCCCCCCACACTTTAGATGCATACCACTGCTGGCTGGAGCCACATAAAGCTGCAGTGTGACAGTGAAGCTCTAATGTACTCAGTTTGAAGCAGGGTGGAGTTGGTGCCAGTTTTCACTTTGCTTACGGGGATGACAAACGTAGGCCAGCAGAGAAGAGTCTGTGTGGGACAAGCCTGCTTGTTTACTGAATGCTCCCTTCCACACCCATACTTTACGTCTTCTTCCTTTGCACATGTTCACAAACCACCTATGTTTACTAAATGTAGTTTTTCTTTTATTTCGCTTTGCAGCTCAGCTTGTTACAAGAAAGAACAGGGCTGTTAAATGACTGAATTCATGCTTCCTGGTGGACATCTGTGAGTTTGATGTCATGTTTCTTAGAGCTATCTGACAAAGGGATCAGTGTACTCCCCTATCATAGTGTGCACATTTAAACAGAATAAAAAAAAGTCACATCTTCACCTGCTATCAATGCTTGTTTCAGGTGTCATGGATGATGATGACGATCGCCGTCTTCTGGATTTCTTAGGGTAAAAACAAACGGTTAAATTTACACAATCTGCTAAATGTGTTGATCATTCCTTTCACATTTTAAAGCCACCAAGTTATTCACAGCCTGACTGCACCTTTTGTTCTTTTCTAATAAAGTCGGGCAACAATTTTAGTGTTTCTTTGAAATCAACCCTACACAACAATCCAGTATTATCGTATCACTTTTGTTGAAATGGCTTTATGTTTGTTCAAAATTGTTTTCTGCATATTTTATGCTACACACAAATTTATAAACATTGTGTAGACTAAGTCAAGTGTAATTTGCTCTTTCCAGAGATGTGGATGCACTTAATGATTATCTCCATGGCAACAACAGCAAGTCTGTGAGTGACACTTGCTGAATATTTTCAGTCATTAATAATTTTTTGAATATTGTTCCAAGGTAAAAGCTTAAAAATTGTCTTTTGGCTGGTTTTTCCCCTCTCTCACAGATTGAGGAGGACGACGTGACAAATGCAGCTTATGGATCAGATGGATCTTTCTTTGCCAGCAACACGGTGAGTAAAAATTCACTTTGATCGAACCGAAACATATAGACTTATTTTAAATCATGATTAGACAGCTAGTTATAAATGATTGATCAGAGTTTTAAGTCAAAAATTGGTTTTAAGTGTATGAAAATGTTTCGAGCTTTAGCATAAAGCTAAAGTACATCCGAGGGGCCGGTCGGGTCTGGGTGGACGGATCGGACGGCGTCTGCTGCCAGTTTCTTGGGAACTGCTGTGGGGTGAACCTTTGCTGGGGGGGTCCTTCCTGCCTACAGCCATCAGTATCTATAACATCTCTTAATGAAATGAGGATAACGAGTTACAACAACAAATAATTCCACTTTGGGATTAATAAAGTATTTTTGAATTGAATTGAATAGAATATTGAAGGGTGCCAGCATAATTTAGATAAACGTCAAAATGAAATTGCGTCATTGTTGTTTTCATTATGTTAGTCATGCTCCACTTTTGTTTTGATACAAATTAAGATTAAACTTGTTGGCCTGCAGGCTGTGCAGACATGTTCACATACTGTTCACATATTTCTTTCAGACTAGCTCCAACACTTGTCTCAAAGATGGCTCTTCTTCACTGGGTGACTTTGGAGAGGACTCAGCGGGAGCAGGCCTCCAGCTCTCCAGTAGCCTTTCATTCATCGAGGATGATTTGGGGACTGGGAGCTCCCCTGAAGGGGTGGACCTCGGAGAGGACCAGCCCTTTGACATCCTCCAGAAGTCTCTCCTGGAGGCCGACATCACAGAGCAGACGCTGGCCCAGGAGGCCCTGCTGGACTCTCAGCCTGCTCCCACGCTCGTGCAGGCTCCAGTTCCCTTCTCCTCCCAGCTGGTCTCTGGGGGGTATGGAGGTGGGGTGGGTGTGGTAAGCTCAGCGACAGCTGCGTTTCCGGCAGGCCAGCTACTGCAAGGAATGTCACCACTGCCCAATGGCTCTACCCAGCACATCCAGGTGTTGGGCTCGTTTGGGGCAGGGAGTGGTGTGATGACTCTAAGCAGCTTGGAGAGAACTCCTCAGATTGTCCTGAGGCCAGGGGTGCCTGTAGCTACAGCAGGGGCGGCGACAGGAGGGCAGGTGTTTACACCAAACCAAGGTCAGGTGGGCCAAGTAGGCTTACCTTTCAAAAACATTCCCCTTCAAAACATCATAATTCAAAGAGGTCCAGGAGGGACTCAGGCTATCGTCAGACCAATTCAGCCTAAACCCCCTCAAAGTGGCTCTCAGTCTGTTTACAGCCTTGGTCTTCAACCCACTCCCACTACTGTGACAAATACTGCTGCTGCGGGACAGTACACAGCCAACGGTACTATAGTGATGCAACCACAACTAGAGCAGCAACCAGTGCAGGCTCAGACAAACCTTCCACCAGGGCAGTTCTTGATACCTAACTCTTTGACGCTCGCTCCATCCTCCACCATCCACAACGGCTCCACCAACCAAAACACCGTGCAGATAGCTGCAGGGCAGAACTTCACTGGATCTCCAGCAGGCCAGCTAATCTTGAATCCAGGCGTAGTGAGTGGGAGTCAGGTTGTTGGAGCTGTGACTCAGACATGGACTGGAGCTTCTTGTGCCAGCTCAACCCCCGTACAGACATCCTGCGCTCCTGGGCAACTCACTCTGGTCGGCCCAGCGACGGCCGGGATCGAAGGCCCAGCCCAAGCGTCGACTTGTCCCGTGCAGCGCCTTCTAGTGACCCAAACACAGAACTGCACTTCGCTGTCACCTTTACCTGGCAGCGTGACGCAGGACTTCAGACAGGTAGACGCTCACACATAATTGATTTTTGTTTTTTTCCATGTCTGACCCACGTGATTTTATTTCCAGAACTCCTCATCGCCTGCCTTCGCTCAGACACAACTTGGCGGCATTCATGGTAATCTAAAGTGTACACTGTGATATTTTAAATTAACTTGTATAGGCCTTTGTGTGTTATTTGCTGTACTTTGAACTTGTTGTTTTTTATGTTTTAGTCATGAAAACCATAACGCAAAACTCAACACCAAACTCTGAGGTATGTTGCGTAGTAATTTTACATTCATACCAACATTTAAAGGAAGAACAAACTCTTCAGAAGACGGTTGTGACAACTTTGGCTTGAATCTTTTCTCTGGACAGGTCAGTTCACAGAAACGACCCTTCGGTTCATCACTCACAAGAGCAGAACTGTGAGTTTTCTGACAAACACCGATATTAAGATTTGATGTTATTTTTGTCTTATTGAGATGAATTGTGCCTATTTAGCCACTGAGTGTGTTTTTCCTCTCTTTTTGAATTCAAAGTATTTTAGAGCACTTGAGGAGGGATCATGTGGCAGTTCAGGCCCCAGACCGACGGAGGTTCACCTCAGTGGACGATGCTCTCCTAAGACTGCTGCCTTACCACGTGTTCCAGGGGGCGCCGCCCAACCACGACGAGTTCTCACAGGGTACGTTGAGTCCAACTCTAATAAAAAGGCAGACATTTGGCTTTGAAATGAATCTTCAGGCAAACAATAAATGTTTTTTTTTAATGAAGACTTGTTGTTTGTTTGATCATTTCAGTGGATGAGGAGTTTGAGGTGGTTGCAGCTCAGGTGCTGATGAGGACCGAGGCAATGGTTAACAAATACAGACGACTGCTGATGGTGGAAGCTGAGGTACACAAGAGGCTTTATTCAAAATGTTGAACAACATCAAGTGCATTCATTTATGAGTTTTTGTCACATTTTTAGATTTCGGTTGCACTTATTACTTAAATAATTGACTTGTGGGTTGAAAGTTTTTGGCGATGAATGTCTTGAAACTTCTTAATTTATTAAAGTTGTTTTTAAGTTGTGTATTTTTGTTGTTAAGTTCATTTTTTGACAACAAAACATTTAATTGTTTTGCCACACAAACAGTTGAATCACAGTTGCTGCATTTGCTATAAAGGCATAGATTTATTTGAACACATTTAATGTTTTAGCTCAGTTTCACTTGGAACTGCACTCACTCCAGACAGTTTTTAAATCGGTAAAGTTTCCTGGATGGGAAGCGAAGTCTTCAGCCACAAAATAAAAGTCCAGTTGTTTTGTTTCAAAACCTTTATTTGGATTCTCCATATTCTGTAACGCGTAGCGCTAACGGACGTCACTTCCTTGTATTGCAGCGTTCCAGTCCTTCGTCAGAAATGGTGATGATCGACAGGACCTTCAACCAGGAGGAGCGCAGCAACCTGACACAAGACAAGCGCATGGTCCTTGTGGATCCAGGTAAAGGCCAAGAAAACGAGACTAATTCAGGTAAATAAAGGTTGATTTGAACTCTTCCTCTCTGTTTGGCGTGCAGACAACTTCCTCGATGACTTCTGTTGTGGAACAAAATCCAAACATTTCCAAGATCCCGTTCCCCCGCAGTCAGCAGACAGTGAGATTTGGGAGCAGGCAGAACAAAGCTCCGAGGAGCCAGCGTACAGGACAGACTCCCCGTCTGGGTGTACAGACCCAGGAGGGGGTAGGGATGTCGGACCAGGTCCACCAGAGAGACTCCATCCACCACACGTAGAAAACAAAACGGTTTTGGAACTGAAGAGACCCCAGCAGTGCTTTGGGTCCGACGGCGCCAGCAACAACAGCTTCGTTGCAACTAAAAGTTGCTCGCAAGGTAAACCTGCACATTTTGCAGCAACTTCAGGACAGCCTCCGTACTCGCAGCACCGGTCCTCCCCACCGACACAGTCTCAGTACTCGCCCCCCGTCACCCCTCCACCCCACCCAGACCCAGATTCTGCTTTAGAGGCAGCAGTCAACAGCATCCTGGAATGTTAACTCTGATGCACCATTTGTATTTTTGCAGGTACCTTTGTTTTCTTGTCGTCACGTGTGTGTGAGGAGAGGTTCGCTCCGTTTTCAGATCTGTCTTTGTGAAATGCAGCCATGTAGCGTTTGAAGCTTTCTGAGGCGTTACTTCTGTTCGTGATACGTCGAGGTGTACTTGGGCACTTAACCTATAAAGATCCGGGATCGTGTGCAATGCAGCAGATAAACAGATGCAATTTTTATAAAACTTTATTTTTATTGTGAAGCAGTCGGTAAATGTTGCAGCTCTGAAGGCGAGAGTGTTTCTCTCTTCACACAGCATTAACAGTTTGTGCCATTTCCTTTCCCCACCACTGCAGGGAGGAGGAGGAGGAGGAGGAGGAAAGTTGTGACTCTGTGCCTGATTTTAAGTTTTTATCTGAAAGTGTTTACATGAAGAAGCTCTGCTCCGAAAGATTTACTCTTATTTCTTTATTGCATTACTGTGATGGAGCATCAGAGGCACCAGAGGAGAAGAAATCTGAGGACGAACGTTGAAACGTTGAGGTTAAAGTGGAAATTTTATTCACAGGAAACAAAACGACAAACCGTTGGATTTTGTTGAGCTCTAAAAACTCTTTAAACATCCGAAGCGACTAAAAACAGCTCAAGTTGTTCCTCAGTAGATGACGGTAGTTTAGACCAGCGGGGGAGGTGAGTAGTTAGAAGTGTGTTTGAGGCTTTTATTGTGAAAGATTGAAGTTGGTTCCACTGCAACTAGACTAATAAGCTTCACTTTATTTTGTAGTTTATTCAATAACAGCGCACCCATAATCTCAAGATAACAGTAACAAATTAAATAAATGCAGTCCGAGCGTTAAGCCTTGAAATATGATTTTTGAAAATATAATTTCCACTTTAATTATTTCAATTTTCATTTAAAAGGACAAACTGAAGTTAATTTCTTCCGACTGGCCCTGATGCTCCGTCTTGTTTTACAAACAGAGCAGTGCTCGTGTGCGGTTAGTGGATTCTCTTTAAAATAATCCCACGCTCACATAAACGTGCACTAAACACGGATGACATAATTACATGAAGATGCTGCCCTTGATGTCCAGCACGTGTTGGGCTGAACAGAATGTGAACGTTTGGAGCAGAACCAAAAGCTTTTGTCTCGTCAGCTGCCTGGAATAACAACTGACCTCGTAATCTCACGACGAGGAACCCGTCAAACTCGTCACGTGTCGCCGTGCTCGACCACGCGCTTCGTTTTTTTGTGCTCAAGTCACTTTTGTTTCCTTCAGTTTTCTTTTGTACCTTAAAGGTACGCGAGTCCCGACACAAACGCAGCGCAGATCTTTGCCGCTTCTCACCGCGAGTTTGTGTCCGTGGAGCTAAAGTCCTCAGATTGAGGAGGATTTGTTCAAGTCGATCTTTTTTATTGAGATTTTCAGTTCCTCATTTTTAGAAATGACTTTACAGATGTTTTTTTGTTTGTTGTGATGTGTTCCTCAGAGTTCTGAACATGAAAGTTGAACTTGAATGAGCCCGGGGGGGTCAAACATCGTCTGCCTTCTCAATACAATCAATATATTGATCATATGTGTTTAACTTAATATTCACACGTTTGTTTGCACTCGGCGTTCGGCTCTTCTCACGTTGATTGTCGTGGTTTTTTTAGGTCTCAAACATTTCTCACATTTTTTTCTGTTTTTATTCTCAGCAGCAGCAACAACCAAAATATAATTAAAAGAGAGCGGTCCGGTCCAGAATCCTCTCAGACCATCTGGAAATCGATTGGAATTTTTTTTTTTTAAGCCTAAATTATTGCTCCGCCCCCTCTTTTTTTTTTTTAAAGTTTATTTTTAAATGATCTTTTGAAAACAAATCATTTAAACTCATCACATTTTAAAGCTTCTCATCGCAAAGTCGTGATCAATTCATAAAATAAATAAAAAACATGACAGTTTGTTTCTCAAATCGATGGTTAAAAATGTTCTTGAACAAGTTCTGCAAGTTAAATTCATGATCGTCACAAAAACAGCCCAAGTACGACGACGACGCGGCGTTCATGGAAGAGCTGCTCGACGTGAAAAAGTTCAAACGTTTAGATTTTTTATTTGGACGCAGATAAACGGAGACTTCCTGAGTAGAAGTTTTGCAGATGTCGAGCTCAGTCATTCTGGGGCTCCTCCGCCCGACTCCGTCCCCGATATTTATCTTTGCCACGTTTTTAGTCGATTCATTCACGTTTAGCACGTTTCCACCTAAACGTCTACATTCGTCTGATTTTGCCATATTGGTTTACCTGCACACTCCGGCCAGCTCAACGTCAAAACGTTCTTGCTTTATTTCAGAATTACACATCTGGAAAACTGTCGGAGTAAACTCTTTAAAAAAATATTTGAAACATTTCATAACTTCTACATATTTAATTCCTCAGTTTGCGACGAGTAGCTTTTAAAAAAGGAACTTCTCGTTGTAAACGGTCGATTCTGGACGGCACCACTTCTCTAATAAACACGATTTTTTACGCGGCAGCAGTGACCACACCTAGTAAACACAGCAGCTCGTGGAGTTGGACAAAAAAATCTTTTTTTAAGCAAATCCCCAATCGTTGAAGTCGACTTGAACTTTTGCACCTGCGACGAACAGCTGTAAGGTGTGGTGCCTCTGCAGCGCTCGACTCTAGAGATGTTGGATCTGTGCAGGACGTGCTGGGAGAACCGTGTGAACAGATCACGGCCTCCAGGCCACACTGTGCACCCCCCCACTTGTTTTCATTTTCAAATTGATAAGTTTGTTTTGTATAAATAAATAAAAAAGTTAAACATAAAATATTTATAATTTTGTATGAAGAAAAGGAAAATGTTTCAAGAAAAGACAAAAATGTGGAACCTATTTTTTATTGTGTTGGCCGAGAGGCAGGAAGTTACAAAAAATGCTGTTTTCGTTCTTTGTAGCTTAACGTGTTTTCACTACAGCGGCGAGGCGAGTCAACAATAAATTCATTTTGAAAAGTAAAGAACGGGTCCAGAACCTTCTCTCGTGTTCCTCCATTACTACTCTGCGAGCGTCCACACACACTGCGTGCATGATCGCATGGGGAGGACGCAGATAAATAAAATAAAACGGTTTTATGTTTACTGACATCACGGTGTTTAGCTTTTCTGATTCCTCGTGTCCCTGCTGCCAAAGTTTTATTAAGTTGATCCCAATGATGGACGAGCTCAGAGATGATCCATTAGTTTCAGCCCAACAGTGACACCTGGTGGAGACCTAAAGAAACATTTTTTTTTTAGCCTCAAGAATTCTATAAAAGCCATCTTTTAATTCTAACTTCGACTGCCACGTTTAATAAATACAAGACGATTTAGATCAGTGGTTTCCAAACCATTACCAAGTCCATTAAACCAGGGTTTAATGGCTGCACAACCAACAATTACTCTGTTTACATCAATCCATGACTGTTATTTTTTAAAAGATGTTTATGGCTATAATGTGCAATTATCAGACATCACTTCCTGTTTTACAACACTCGGCGAAGTCCCGACTTCAGCTTCAGGAACTACTGATTTACATCTTAGAATGAGTTAAAATATCTGACACATTGGGATTATTTTTGACATTGGCACTCATCTCTTACTTGAAATAGTTCATTTATTCCAGTTTGAAGGCAACATCTGTCAACTAGTGAACTGCTTAAAATGCTCAGAATTCAGTTTAATACAGTTTCTAGTCATGGTGATATGGAAGCCACCACTCTCCTAAAAAAAACATTTGTCAGCTGAATTTGAGACAAACGTATAACAATTTGTCACATATAATCCAGCGCCCATTCAGGATTGGGGCGAAATAAATATGATTCAGATGCTTCCTCTTCTGACAGCGGCTGTTCAAACGTGTTCCTTCATCTTTAATGATACTTCCTCCAACGACTCAACTCTGAGGGGGAATAAAAACACAAAAAGATTTAATCTCTGCTTTAGTTACTGCAGAAAGGGCCTGAGCGTGATGCTTCCTCACTGATATGAGGGTAGCTCCAGATGTAGCTGAGCACACAGTATCCAACCAGCAGCATGCTCAGTCCAGCGACGCCGCCTTTCTTTACGTCTGTGTACCGTCTGTAATACCACCGCCAGCCTGGAAGAAGGGGGGCAAACATTATGAAAGAATAAGTTTTACCTAAATCCTACTCAAAGACACAAACAGTCTTAAAGCCAGAAATGTCCAGCTGTGATTTTAATTATCATTTAACAAATGAGTTATTTCTAAAGAATTTATAAACGATGCAGCAAATACGTTGATTGAAAATGATTACCGTAATTTCCGGACTATAAGCCGTTACTTTTTTTTCCACAGGCTTCTTTGAACCCTGAGGTTTATACAGTGCTGCGGCTAATTTATGGATTTTTTTTCTTTTGACGGGCTAACGAAACATTAGCCCCGTCACAAACGGACGCTCACGTAGCTGCCCAGGGATCAATGACCTCCTGGTAGACTACTGTATTTATCATTTTTTAACCAGCCATGTTACGGCACTGTTCAGAAAAAAAAAAAAATTACTGTACGCATTGGTGTACCGTATTTTCCGCCCTATAAGTCACAGTTTTTTTGCATAATTTGCATGTCCTGCGACTTATAGGCTGAAACGACATATTTATGGATTTTTTTCCCCATATTTATAAACCAATTTTTGGCTGAGATATGATTTTCATTCATTCTGACTGAAAAAGCGCAGTATCACTTTCAGCCACTTGATGGCAGCAGAGTACAATATATATGGCATACAGTTGTATCATGTAATAGGTAAATGTGGCTATAATGACAAATTCAAAAAAGGTGAAGACAAAAACAACTGAACTTTATTTATTATACCTTATTGTTTTTTCTTGAACTTTTTTAAATTTACCATGTCCTGGATGACTTGGAATCTTCACCAGTTATTAATGACTCGGTCAGCTTGCCATAGTTCCCACATTCATTCTGCTCGCTGCTTGGAACCGTCAAACCAGCTGCACTGCCCCGACGAAATGCAGCTGATTTGACCATCAAAGTGCATTTATTAAGCAAACGTTACACTGAGACACACCTTTACTATAATTTCAAACAAACAAATAATTGTTTTGAGGTGTTTATTTTGTTAAATTCTTGTTAAAGTCCTCCTGTGCACGCTCCCGCGGCCGCCATTTAGCAGCCCACCGATTTTGGCACAACACCGGCCCACATTTCCTGGTTGTCAGTGGTGACGCATAATAGATGCGACGTATACGGTGAAGCGACATATTTATGGATTTTTCCACTTTATTAGACAAATATGGACTGATGCAACTTATACGGAGGAGCAACGTGTCGGGTGGAAAATACGGTATGTTACCGATACGCATTTAATTAAAGGTTAAAAATCTTTCAGTGTAAATATCCCATGTTACATCGTGGAAACCCGTGGCTTAGAGACAAGTGTGGCCTATAGCTGTACTTTTTTTTTTTTTTTTAAGTTAGTGGGTGCAGCTTCTATTCAGGTGCGCTCAATAGTCCGAAAATTATGGTAAACCTGTTCAGTTTAGACAACATTTGTACTTCGATTATGCTCAAAAACATAATAAATGTGTACTAATACTTAAGTTTATAAAAGTGATTCTAGGTATTTGTGCAGCTTTTAAGGCAATAAACTAATTTGTGTTATTTCTACAAAATACAGGGTGGTGTTTGAGTAACACAATAAGTAAAAATAAGTTTTTATTTGATAAAATGAATGTAAATTAATTCAGAAGTGTATTTTAAGTCATATAATATCAAAGGAGTAAACCCAATTCTTCATTCTAATTAAACAATAAGTCGTGTACAATTTTAACTGTTCTGGTTTTATACATTGAAAGCTCCCAGTTTACTTTTACCAGAGGAAAAAAATGTATTAAAATAATCCAAATTGATTAAATATGCTAATGAGTTTTATAATTATACACATTTGCACAAACATGAGATTTTACACTAGTTTGTAAGAGATGAGTGCCAAGCTAAAAACACAAAATTAATTTGTAAATCTATAATCTGTAATTTAGTGAAACGTGTGCGATACCGACCGCTTTGCACCAAATCTGCAACGTCTCTCGGCCGACTCGGCGTTCTGGAGGCCAGCCACGTGGGTAACTCCTTCAGTCTCACCTGCCCCAGACTCTTCTGCGTCAAAGCTCCTGCAGGGCCAAAACAGGCATAAAGAATTACAGTGCGGACACAAAAACACACGCACCGGGGTTAGTAACATTTAAATAAAATGACATTTTTCTTCACTTGTTAAGACGATAAAAATGTTTAAACTATTTTAACACAAGTGAAAAAACTCAAAAATTGGAAATTCATCAGACCTGAATCAAAAAGGATGTAAACAATGAACCAGTGACTTTAAATGTAATCAAATGTAAAAATGAACTTTTTTTTTTTGTCTTATAAAATGTTGAAGCGAGTTTTGAAGCGTGACACGCGGTCAGCGTCACAGCCAGCCCCAAACATCAGGCTCAGACCTGCTTTCTGAATCGCTGACCTTCAGCTGGGTTTTCTGCAGCGTTTGGTTTCCCGACCTCGAGCTGCGACTCTTCGACCCTCGCAGGCAAAGTTTGTGCAGCGGCAGGAGAAAGCAGGAAGCTGGAGAACGGGCTGACGGCTGACGATCCCGAGGGGAGCCGTGTCGTGCGTTGATCCACATTCAGGCTGAGCTTACCTGGAGGGGGCGTGGCTTGCTGCACCTGAGAAGCAGAAAGGATGAAAGCAGCAGGAGAATCTGGTTCTAGCTGACAAGCTGCACCTTGTTGCTGTGGAATCAAAGCAGACGGTTTTGACTTTCGGTGAAATAACTGTAGTTCTGAGAGTTGCCCGTTGCTCCGAAGCAGCAGATCTGAGGCAGAGAGGCTGACGGCATCTTTTAGGTTCTTCGTTGTAACGGAACTAAAATCTGCGTCGAGTCTAATGTTGCTGCTCTGGAGGTCGGCAGCAACAATGAGGCTCGGGATGCTCGGCCTGTCGGAGCGACCGTGCCCGTTAGCTCTGCATAAAGTGGCTTTAACGTCTTGCAGCGTAACCTTCACTTGACCACTTCCCGATTTTGAGAGCAGCTTCTGAGCAGGACTCTCCTCCGTCTCCTCCTGGTTTTCCACTCTGAAGCCGTCTCTTGCATGAGGGTTCGTGGCATTTTCTTTCACATTTGACTCCAGAATCTTGTTCCGTTTACTGCAGCTAAAACTTGACTCTTCAGTTTTCTTCTGCGACTCTTTTGTCATTTGGTCCAACTTTGCTGCTTCTATCAAAGCACGGAGGCTCTTCTTTTTTGGCTTTGAAAAAGTGGGTGGGGGTGGAGACGGGAACAAGGTGGTGGACTTGGTTTGATCGGCCACCTTCTGCTTCTTCTTAGCTGACGTTGTACTTGAAGGTGACACCAGTAATGGTTTTGGTGATGCAGCCATTTTATCCTTCTCTGCTTGGAGACAGGTCTGTTTGGTCTTCTGTCCTTGGATGGATGTTTTGGACAGCGCTGCAGCCGGGTGAGCTGATGGAGTCTGAGAAGTTGTGCCATCTCGTGCGGTTTGAGGTGTTTTAGAGCTTGATGCTGCCTTACAGTGAGGCAGGTGACTCTTCAGCCTTTTGAAGGTCTTCCCACAGTGTGGACACACCTCTGTGGGGAAAAAGTGAAGTTAGTTATGCTCTTCAAAAACTACATGACACCTACATTTATGTATGTATATTTCTCTTTGTTATTATTCCTTTTATTTACCAAAACTTATGGTGACGCACTGAAATAAATCCCATTACCAAAACACTTGGTCGCCATTTTGGCTCAAAACAACGTCTGTAAAATGACTAAACATTAACTTTCTCTGCTTTGTGTACTGACCTTGGGGTTTGTGGAAAAGTAAAGTTGGACGATAAAGTCATAGAATTAAGTAAAAAAAAAACAACAACAAAACGCTGAAGTCTGGTGACAAGTGACAGCTGAAGTTCCAGTTTTGCGACACTTACCGGTGCTCATTTGGTTTGCGTTAAAACAGCGTTTTCCCAAAATAAAGGAAAAAGTTTTAACTGCATCTTTTGTTATTTAAGAATAACATCAGTCATCACATTAAATAGCAATATTACGTCAAAGTACTTT